ACCTCACTAAGAACTCAAAACAGCACTAAATTTTACATATAAATTAATGGTAATAGGATTCCCAGAACCAAAAAATAATCTACAAAATCATAACCAAATACAAACATTCTATTTTCAGATCATGGGGGATCTGAATATATGGTTAATTATCTTGAAATGAGGAATGTCCTAAGAAGATTTTCTTGACTACTTAATGGTACCTTTTCTGGTATATATCAAGAATAAAGCTGTTAAACTATATATGCAAAATATCAGTCCCATCTGGTATGGTAATGTTACCTAACTTGTGATATCATTGCACTTTTTTGACAATCAAAAAAAGGAAAGCAAAAATTTTATTTTAACAGTTGGGCTCTTTTTTTTTTTTTTAATAAGAGTCTTTTTTTTTTTTTTTAGAGGCATGTTTATTTATTTATTTGTTTGTTTGTTTGTTTATACATGCACTGGGTACAGTCAGAAGCGCGAGAGGGTGAGAGAATTCACCAGAGCCAGAGCAGGAAGCAGAGCAGGCAGAAGGACCGAAGTACACTGCTGAGGGGAGCAGCGGGCGGCAGGAGAGGTCTGCGCACCATGTGGGACCCTCCTCCAGTGGCCGGGGAGCAGCCGGGGATCGAACCGGCGCCGCAGAGGCCGCGGGCAGCTTCGCAACCCAGGGCTCAACCCCTGCGCCACCGGGGAGGCCCAATAGTTGGGCTCTTATTACTCTAATGTGTCATACAAATGCATTTTGGAAAGTTTTATTAAGATATAATTCACATACATAATTCATTCATTCAATTTGTGTATTTCAAAATGTACAATTCAATGAGCTAAGTATTTCCAGAGATATGAAACCATCACCACAAAAATTGTAGAATTCTTCCACCATTCCAGACAGAAACTCTACACCCATTAGCTATTACCCTCTATGCCTGCTCCCCACTGTCAGTCACAATTTCTGTCTCTATAAATTTGCCCATTCTGGATATTTCATGTGAATAAAATCATAGCATATGTGACATTTTCTTACTAGCTTATTTCATAGATTTTCAAGGTTCAACCTTTATTCCCTTTCATTGCCAAATAACATTTCTTCACATAAATATACCACCCTTTGTTTATTCATTTATTAGTAGATGAACATTTGAGTCCTTTCTCTTGGGGCTGTTTTGAAAAATGCTGCAATGAATAGTTTTGTGAAAATCTTTATGTGGACATATGTTTTCATTTCTCTTGAACATATATTTAGGCATAAAATTGATAGGTCATATGCTAACTCCATGTTTAATCTTTGAAGACATGCCAGACTGTTTTCCAAAGTGGTTCTATTATTTTACCTTTTCACCAGCAATGTATGAAGTTTTCAATTTCCCTTCTTTCTCATCAACATTTATTATCATCTTTCTGATTATTGCTATCCCCGGGTACCAAGTGGTATGCACATGCTTCCTTAAGATGCAAAAACATGGAAATACATTGGGTAAGGAAAGTCTTTGATGTCAAGGGGAAGGCATGAAGAGATTAGGAAAAGATCCTGCAATCAGGCTGGAAAAGGAAGCAGAAATATTTTTTAGGTCTGTTACTCAACTTAATATTCTTATGCAAACAATTGTCCTCACCAAAGGGTCAGGATTGTGGAGCTAGCCAAGCCTTAAATCTCGAACTTAAACTAATATAACAATTACTTGATTTATTGATTTATTTCCTATGCTATACCCATTTGATTCAATACCACAAAGGTGATGTGGAAGGATATTATTCCCCTTCCTCAATAAAGGTGCTAACCTAATGAGGTTAACGAGTTTGCCCAAAGGAACATAGTTAATAATACATACATACAAATGTAAATATATACATATGTAAATAAATAGAATTCAGGGGCCTCTCTGGTGGTGCAAGGGGTTAAGACGCAGCACTATGAAGCAATCCGCAGCTACTGCAGCATGAGTTCTATCCCAGGCCAGGGAGCTGACCCACATGGTGCAGCAGACCTCCCTTATCTTGCTCACTGCTCCCCTCAGCAGTGTATGTCAGTCAATTTGTCTGTTCTGTTCCCCACTCTGTCTCTGGTGATTCTCTCAACCCCTGCACCTCTGGCCTGCTCCCCAGCTCCTTATATGGATAAATAAATCTTTAATAAATAAATAAATAGAATGCAAAGGTGGGCCTGGAATACATTTCAAATCACAATCCTTGGCTCCCTCCTTCCTCTTCACCTTCACTTGTCTCATCTTTAATAACCCAGAAAGTAATGGAAAAGGAAAACAAGGCAGAGGGGACTTGTGGATATGTGTGAAGCAATTAATGGCTGGAGAACTGCCTATCACACAGTCCCCACAATCAGCCTGGGAGAGGGCAGCTGGGGCCAATGATAACAAGCATGGCTATCGTCCTACTGGGGTACAGGCCAGAGGTGCAGGGGGTGAGAGGACCCACCTGGGGTACAGGCCAGAGGTGCAGGGGGTGAGAGGACCCACCAGAGAAAGAGCGGGGAACAGAACAGGCAGACTGACGAAAATACATGCTGAGGGAAGCAGCGGGTGAGACAGGAGAGGTCTGATGAGCCATGTGGGTCAGCAACCTGGCTGGGGACAGAACTCGTGCTGCAGAGGCTGTGGACAGCTTCACAGTGCTGTGCTCAACCCTTTGAGCCACCAGGGAGGCCCAATCATCCTACTCTTGATAAGAGTTACATCCAGGAATCAAGAAGCCCTAATCCCTGCATTCTGAATATTATATTATTCTGTACTCAAAGCAGTATATTTAACTACATAAATTATTCATTCAACTATTTATTAAGTAGTCACTCTGTGCTAGGCACAGCACTGAGATAATTGAGAGAAAAAGGCAATGATTACAATGTTTCAAAATAAAATTAAATAAGGATCATTTGCAAGCCTTTTGTGTATAGTATCTCATTTAAGCCTTACATATACAAATGGAAACTGAGGCACAGACAAGTTAAGTCAATCATCCCAAAATCACAGAACTAATAAGCGGGGATGCAGAATAAGAACCTAGGCAGCCTGGTTCTATACTGTGTACTTAACCACCACCCAGTTCCTCCTGCCAGCTCTTGCTTGGAAAACACATGTGGTGAAGCACAGAAACCAATAATACTAATTAATTCCAGCAACTGTTTGTTGAGTTATTAATACATGAAGCCCAGGCACAAATTCTCACAACAATCCAGGAAGCACTTCTCTTCATTACCATTTTATAGATAAAGAAACATGCTCAGAGAACTGAATTAACTTGCCCAAGGTCACAGAGTTAAAATAGGGAAGGTCAGCACTGTACTTAATATGTACCATTGTTCTAAGCACCAATTCATCTAATCCTCATAACAATACTAGGAGATAGGTTGATTCTAACCCATTCTTAGTCTGTAACTTGTTCAAAGTCCCACCCATAAATGGCAAAGACTGGATTTACTCAAAACCACTTAATGCCTCTCTTATCTGTCTAAATAAGTCGAGTTGAGAAAGAGCCCTCTGTCCTCTCAACAAGCTAATAAGCAGGGTCCTCAGAGCTGCCCTAGTGCAGTGGAGTGCTAGGAGGGGGAGGGAAACCCAGGAAAAAGGAAGATGAAGTTGCATCTCGGAGGAGATAGCGGCACCATGCAATTTAGTAAGAAAAGTAGACTTTGAAAAAGACAATATTATATTAAAAATATAATATTATAATATTATAATGAGAAAATAAGCTAAACTACCAAAAAGAGGGTTTCAGAATTGAATCAAAAAAGCCTCATTTTAATACTTATCATTTAGAAAATAGGCTTGATAAAGGAAGATAAAGTTTTATTCTAATTTTGACCGTACATGAAAATATCAACAAGGAACAGAAATGTGCAACTTGCCTAAACTCAATTCATTCTGACTTTCAATATTTACTTGCTGGGTCTAAGTGCTGCAAGCAGCGTGGTTTCCAAACTTGAGGGATCTTTACAAGATTCTCTATCCGTCAGGTCCGAAAACACAGCATTTGCAAACTAAAGAAGCCTGAGGACTCAGACCGAGAACTCGAAGGAATTCTTCTTTCCGGCGGGCCAGGGGCCGGCAAGCAAGCTGTGGCTCAAAAGCTGCAGAGCCGGGTTTTTTCCCTGGCAAAGTGATTTATGACCACACGAAGACGAGCAGCTGCAGAACCGGTCAGACCTAAGTACAATTCTCAAAAATCCAAGAAGGACCAGGAAGGGACAGGGAAAGGGAGGGCGGGTAGGTCACTGCCTGTCCTGGGCGCGATGAGACCTGTCAAGTCCCAATTCCCCCCGGAGTCCGGGACGCTGGACACGACCGCCCACAGTGCGAGCGCGAGGGAGCTGGCACCGCAGCTGGGCAGCCGGGCAAGGTGCCTCCACGCCCCCTTGCGGACCCACATTATGATCGATAAGGCTGTGCCAACTAAGTGATAGGTACAGTGATCCCAAATAGTCTCTCCATTTAAAAGCCCCCAAGCATCCTGCAAGGAGCCGCGGCGATCAGCCCCACTTTATAGCTGCCAGCACTGAGGCTCGGGAGCGTGAAGCAAGGCGTGCCAGCAAAAGGAAACCACAAGTGAAGGCGATCTCTGGGCTGCTGCCTGCATCCAGGAGGAAAGGCGCAGGAGTAGGAGCCGGCTAGGGAGGCCACACCGGGTGCGCCCTCGTGCTCTGGGCGGACGCGGTGCGGCTGTCAGCTGGAGGCCTGGCAGCGCCCAGGTGCCCGGGCAGAAGTAGCCAGGAGCGCGCGCGGTGTGCAGCGCGCCCGTGGCGCTCTGGGCTGCAGCAGCCTGGCTGGGGCGCAGCGCGCACCTCCCGCCCGCGCGCGCGGGTCTGCGGAGCCCGCGCCCGTGCCGGGTGCACCCGCCCGGGGCTGCAGCAGCCGAGCAGGGGCGCAGCGCGGGCTGTCCCCGCGCGCACAGCCGCCCCGGAGCCCCGCGCGAGCCGCGAGCCCCGAGTCCCGGCGCGCGCGCGCGGCACCGCTGCGGACACGGCTGGCAGTGCCCCGCGAGCCCACGGGCGCTGCCCCTCGCCTTACCGTAGCTGCTCCCCGGTGACCAGCACCTCAGCCATGCGCTCCAGCTCCCGCTGCTGCGCCCCGCCGCTCCCGCTGGTGCTGCCGTCGCTGCCACCGCTGCCCGCGCTGCCGCCCTCCTCCATGGTCGGGCCACGCCGCTGCCACTGCCTGGGCTGTCCGCGGCGGGCTCGGGTGTTGAATCAGCCTGCCCTCACCGAGGCCGCCCTCGCCATCTTGGTTAGGGGCATGCCCGGGGCTCACACGCGATTGGCTGGAGAGGGAATCCCTGCGGGTGGCGGAGGTGCCCGGCGACCCGCCCCTGGAGCGCCGGCCTGGGGGCGTGGCTCCAGCCCACGTGGGCGGGGGCGGGGCCAGCGGCGGACAATATAAACATCTGGGCGGGGCGCTGGCTTGGCCCTGAGTGTGCGCTGTGGTCGAGCGCGGTGAGGTTGGTTTCCTTTACCCTTGTAGGTCGTGCTCTGGGGGCCTGGGGACAGGATGAGAGGTTATTAGAGCAGTGGGCGAAATTTTGGTACTGCTCATGTCCCACATTGCCGGAGAATAAAAATAATAATAGCCGGTGGGGGGTTGGGAAAAGTGGGATTGGGGTCAAAATCAGGGGGTTGCAAGTGTATGGAGAATATAAAAATAAAAAATGAAAAAATAAATAATAATAACAGCCAAATACTGGGCAAAGGGTACACGTGTCACTGCAGGACTTGGAGAAATTAAACATCTTCCATCTGCAACCTGGTCAGCCAAGATTGCTTACTTACCTGATGACGTATTCGATAAAGTACACGGGCCTGGGCTTTAGACCTGGGATCCAACTCCACCCCTGTAATTTCCTGCCTAAATATGCGTTATTCTCGGTGTCTTCCTTTACAAATTGAAAATAATTGTGACTACGACATCTTGAATTTGCTGTATTAAAGATGCTTTAGGTCGTCGTTACCTTTTAAAATTATTGCAACAAATCATAAAGCAAATATTGTTTGTTGTTTTTTTTTTTAATCAGGGAACAGGTTTGGAGAGTTGGGGTAACTTGTCCAAGGCAAGCAAGTAATAACTGCAACAGCAATCAAACCCAGGCGATTCTGGTTTCAAAGTTGTGTTTTTTAAAAGAGTACCTCTGAAAACAGGGATGTATTGGCATCGTCTAGCTTGCAGGGACTATGGCAGGAACTTTGACTAATGCCAAATAAATGTCCTGTTTTTCTCTGTGATGCAGGGCCAGCCTCTGGTCTGCAGAAAGTCCAAGTAATGCTAAGGGCAATGGGCATCGTTGTGGTAAAGGAATATTTATGTGTAGACTTTTTATACAGCTTGTTGCATTTTTTTGCCTATGTTCCAGACTCTGCACTCCTACAGCAAGTAAATTTGGATCTGTTTTTTTTTTACTCAATATTATCTTAAAGACATAATTTCTTAATTGCAGATATGTAGTAGAAATCTACAGAATAAAAATAAAAATGACAGAACTCTTGAGAACCAGCAGTCTGTATATTTTATATCAATTCTATTATTCAAAAGTATTTATACCCATTGTTCTGCAGGCTTGTTATATTTTATTATTTTGTTTTTAGAGAGGACCGCAGTAACCTTTTCCAACATTTTACAACATCATTCCTTAAATTAACTTATTGAATAGAATTTGCAACAATTCTTTGAACATTTATTCTGTGCTTTAAATTTTGGGTTTTTTCCATTTAACTCCAGATGTATTTTCATCTAAATTTGGTCAACTTTCTTTCTCTAAAAAATAAAAATGCATTCTTATAGTTTCTGATTTTAAAAAGGTATATTGAAAGAAACTTTTATCATAAAGTTTAAGAATTAAAAAATCCCCCTCCCTAATGTGTGGGTAAAAAATTCAGGTCAAGAAAATACCTATTTCCTCTACTGCAGTAAGAGCAAGAAAGCAGAATGTATTTTTCTTGCCTGATGTGAAGGATTGTGTGTGTGCACAGGAAATGGGACCGGTTTGTTGTTATTGTTTTGAACTTTCCTTTGATGTATAAGGTGCATCATGCTCCCCTGCATAAAAAGATCAATCCTCCTAAGTTAGGAAGAAATTGGTGAACTGATTCCGGATGACATTTGAACACTACTCCCTGAACCAGGAACTCTGGAGCAACTGGCTCCAGCATATACTGTGATCTATAGGTATGATAATAATAGAGAGAGCAGGACACTGACCTGACTGTTAATCAGCATGAGGATGTTAGAAGGGGTGAAAATTCCAGCAGACTTCGCTTGATTCCTGCCTCCAGCTGACCATTATTTTCTCTGAATTGTCTGTCTTGCTTTGGCAAAGTCAAGATTATACTACCAAGTCCATTGGGTAATTTGAAGGAAGGATTAAATAAAATTAAAGGAGATTGCTCTTTATAGAAGTCACCCACTCTCCTGTTTCTTGCCTTTTGACTATTGTAGTACTCTGGAGCCAGTGCTTCTCAAGCTTCCGAGGGAGGACAAAGTATGTGTGTGTGATGTTTTCAGTAATACTAATACTTTAGTAAAATACAATAAAAATGAAAATCAAACATTGAGCACAAGTCCAAAATTGTTACTATTATGGGCAGACAGGAAAGAGGCAAATTGCTATAATCTTTTATAAATGATTTCTCTCCATGTCTGTACATCTCAGCCTCCCTTATTATCGATAATTCACGCTTTGTATAGTGCTAGTTAAGGGTGAGCAGCATTGAGAGATGAACTTGAATAAAATGTATGAAAAAATATTGTCAACTATGATGCTTTATAATATGCGATCTGTTATGGTTGTCACCTCTTAGTATATATCTGTATTATTCCCGCCTGACTTTAAAGACTTACTCAAACCCCATTTCTTAGTGTTATCTTCCTGAACTTTCCCAAGCAATTTGGTATTCTGTCCTGTGAATTCTCATGTTACCTCAAGATACCCATTGTTCTTTAACTATTAATTGGAATCTTGATTCTCCAGTTCCCACCATTATTATTCTCTCTTTGTGAATGGAAGAAGATGGATGGCTTAGCTATTTCTGTTCATTGATCTTTAACGAAGAAAACTTGTCCTTAAAAAGAAGATGGAAAAAAATCAAATTTTCATGTGTTCCTCATACACACCCGTGTTTAACATTTTTGATTCATATTTTCATAGTGATATTGCAAATAAAGTTGATGTTTCTTGCCCTCCAGATCTGCTCAACTCTCACTGGATCTCAGTCATAACCTTGGTTCCCTGCAGTTCTTGCTGCTAAAGGGCGATTCAAAACTGTCTATTTTTTGTTATATGCTGCCACCTAGTGATATCTTTTGCAATGACATTAAGTGACATTGCTTTTCCTAGAGAGAACCGACTACTACCCCCAAGAGGACTTTTTGGAAATTTCAGATGGATGTTGAGGTTTGTTGCATTATTGGAGATGCCACTGACTTTTAGCAGGCAGGAACTACAATTGCTAGATATTTGCGTTTGCTTGGGACATAACTTACAAAAAATTGTCCTAAGGGCCTCCCCGGTGGCGCAGTGGTTGAGCGCTGGGTTGCGAAGCTGCCGGCGACCTCTGCGGCGCCAGTTCGATCCCCGGCTGCTCCCCGGCCACCTGAGGAGGGTCCCACATGGCGCGCAGACCTCTCCTGCCGCCCGCTGCTCCCCTCAGCAGTGTACTTCGGTCCTTCTGCCTGCTCTGCTCCCCGCTCTGGCTCTGGTGAATTCTCTCACCCTCCCGCGCTTCTGACTGTACCCAGTGCATGTATAAACAAAACAAACAAACAAACAAATAAATAAATAAAACATGCCTCTATAAAAAAAAAAAATTGTCCTAAACACTGAATGTCTTATGTTTTGTAGGAGATTCATGTGAAAGAAAAATCTATTTACTGTTATCTAAGTCTACCACTTAATTGGTTACATAAGGAAACAAAGTATTTTTTGCACAATTTTAATATGAATTGTTCAGGAATGCAATTATTTTGTACATTGAGAAAAATTGTTCTTGGTTCAGAACTTTACTAATAAAGGTTCATCATTGCATAAAATTGATTCACTCACCATTTGTGTGGTCTGCATATTATAAATACAGCACAACTTTTTCAGTCTGCATTTGTTAGCTGGGACTTGATTTGTAGGTTTGTATAAGGATATGTTATTTAGCTAAATTTAAAATGCCAGGTAGGGCCTCTCTGGTGCATCAAGGGGTTACGAGTGCTACAGTGGCTGGTGATAGCTTGATCACGCTGCCTTTAACCCCTGCACCACCAGGGAAGCCCCAGTTTTCTTTTTATGGATCACAAGTGTCCTACGAGATCACTGAGTTTTGTTGTAAACGTGTATACTCCTGGAGGGTTTTTCTGAAAAACAGGGCTGAAAGAGCCCTCAGTAAAGGCACTGAGAGCAAAAGAAAGCTCAGAACTCTGAAGGCTGTCAGCCACAAAAATCTTAATATTTGAAATAAAAACAATATTGTAAATGTAACAGCTAGAAGTAATGCCTTATTTTATTTTATCTATTTTATGTGTGTAGTGCTTGCTTTATACTAGGTGACTAAGTGCTTTACAAATTTTAAATCATTTCCTAATACTAGACTGTAAGGTGCTAATTTTTTACTGCCTGTTTGCTTACCAATTTCCAGGACTTCTCCTCGCTTCACTTTAAATCACAAGGCTCCTGACTCTGCAGACTGCATTTCTCAGGCTTCTGTGTCCTGTAGTTTCCAATTACATTTAAATAATGGGAGGCATTAATGCAAGATTAGAGAGGGGGCACCAAGGAGAAGCCAGGAGATTTCACTTCTTTCTCAGTTTAGTGCTTGACTCCGCAGACAGGTGTTCCTTCTCTTGTCTTTTGTAAGGCAGAGGAGATGGGAAAGAATCAAGTAGGCTGCTCTGTGAAACATGAAACAACACCACCACCTAGAGGGGAAAAATCCTTATTGTTTTCATAAGGAAAGCCTAAAAAGTTCACTTAGAGGATGCAAAGTTGACATTTCAATGGCTGTATTTCCCATACAATGAATTATATCTTGCTGTGCATCAGAGCTTCCTTTTCTGGAGTAATTTTTAAAAAGCACAAGATAAATTTCTTCCAGGACACAATTATATTTTTGCCACTTGCAATTTTTTCCTCCAGGAAGTATTTCTTTCAAGGCTTCCACTTCAAATGTTGGTAAAGCTTTACCTTTAGCCCAGTTTTTAGTTATAGGCCACACTACCCCTGATTGATTTCATTCACAGACACTTTTATAACTAAGACTCATCATGTGCTCTTAAAAGCTTTATGTTTTACAACCCAAATGCCCAAAAATAGATGACTGGATCAAGAAGATTGGTACATATACACAGTGGAATATTACTCGGCAATCAAAAAAGATAAACTCATGCAATTTGTACCAACATGGATGGAGCTGGAAGGGGATCATGCTCAGCAAAATAAGCCAGAGAGAAAAAGAAAAATACTGGATGGTCTCACTCATAGCAGGAATTTAGAAAACCTAAATAAGGGACCAGGAAAAAGACTAATTGTAATAAAGTAAAAATCAAAATCAACAAGCAACTATAACCAGACTTAGTACGAGTCGGGGGGAGGGGAGGAGGGATTAGAGTCAAAATAAGGGGGTTGGGTGGGAATTATATGGGGAATATAACCAAGATGAAAATGCATACATTGTGCAAAAATGAAAAATGATGTAAAAATATATAAAATAAAATTATATGTATATGTATATATATATATATATATATATATATATATATATATATATATATATATATATATATAAAGCTTCTGGCCAGATCTTTATTCAAAGTCCATGTTCTAGATCTAAGTTCAAGGCCTGTCTTGGTTCACCCATAGCATTTCAAACATTAAAACTAGATCTCATCATATTTCACCCCAAATATTTTCCTAGTCTTCCTACAATATGTTGTAAATGAGTGAAAATTTGGATTCTGTTGTCCATGATTTACTTCCAGAGATTGTAGGGGAAAAGTACAGCTACCCCTGAGCTGGTATTTCATCTCCTGGGTGATGCTGCTTTCCACTGCTCCTGGAACTCACCAGCCACTGGGACTTTTCACTGCCTTTCTGTGAGCGTTTCCCACCATGCTTTAGCCAAAGCTACTGCCAGCTTATTATGGGCAGACATGAAGGAACCACCAATGAGTAGGGAACACCAGACCCCAGTCTACCTCCTGGGTTTCTCCTTAGCAGTCACACTATTACCACATTGGCACACTCCTGTCAACATATGTGCATGGGTTTTTCCCTACACCAAGTCTAAGACACCTGCTAGGTGTACTACCATTTAGCTAACTTTTGACACTCTCTATCTGGACAAAGGGTGAGATCCTGCAGCTTAAGATGGTACTATTCCAAGACTGCCCCCCCTCATTCGATGACAATTGTGAATAGTGGGTCCCCAAGTTACCCACAAATTCTGTCTGACGTGGCTACAAATCAGAGGTTCCCATGATCTCCTCCTTGGATTTCATTATTTGCAAGAACAGCTCACAGAACTCAGGAAAACTCTTACAATTATCAGCTCATCAACAGATATGATAAAGGATACAGACATGTGGGGAGAGGCCCCTCCAATCAGGCACTTATGCCCAGGTGGAGGTGTCTATTGCCTTCCAGGGGTTCACCTATCTGTTCCAGCCCTGCACCTGCCTAGCGGTGCAGACTAGGCACTCAACTAATGGATGCTCCGAGCCCAAGTCATTGTCCCCTGGACCCAAAGAAGTGTGATGCTCGTCGTGTTCACCAAGGGCTGGCTCCAGGTCCAAGCAAGGTGCTTGTTTGTTTGTTTTTACATTTATTTATGCATACAAGAGCTGAGGTACAGACCAGAGATGCAGGGGGTGAGAGGAGTCACCAGAGACAGACAGGGGAGCAGAACAGGCAGATGTGCTGAAATACACTGCTGAGGGGATCAGGTCACCTCCCTGGCGGGGGATCAAACTCATGCTGCAGTGACTGCAGTTACCTTAATAGTTCTGCGTCTTAACCCCTTGCTCCACCAGGGAGGCCCCCAAGCAAGGTATTTTGCACAAAACCCTGCAAGATGTTCCTGAACAGTGCAACTTCCCGCCTCCTGTCCTCGCGGTTACCGAGCAGCAGCTTGCATTCTCTTTTTGCAAAATGGGATGACAAGGGGCCACCTTACAGGGCTGTGACGATGGATTCAGTGCACTCTGCTTGCAAAGTGCTTATCACAGCGCCCGCCACTGGCAGAAGACGACACAGTTCTGGTGGCAAGGCCATGGGGGTATCAGCAGAACTGGCCGGGGTGGGGGTGCGAGCGAAGGGACGCGCGCGGGCGCCTGCCCACCTGCAGCTCAGCTCCTGCAGACCCCGGCGGCTTCCAGCTCCGAGAAGCGGCTGCCCAGGCCGGGGCCCCGCCCGCCGGGCCCCGCCCCGGAAAGCACGCCCCCGGGCCTTGGCGCGCTTTTGGAACAGCGTCTAACAGCTCAAGTTAGTTTCGGGGTTCCGGCCTCCGGGCGCCTACGGCTCTCGCGCGCTAAGTTGGTGCCCCCCGGACCCGGCGCCGCCATGAAGAGGACGCGCGAGGAGGTGGACGCGACGCTGGAGATCGCCAAGCTGAACCCCGACGAGCTGCTGCCGGCCGCGCACTGCCTGGGCTTTGGCCCGCGGGCCAGCGGCGCGGCGGCCGGCGACTTCTGCCTGCTGGAGCTGGAGCCCGCGCTGTGCCAGCACCTGGAGGCCGGGCACAGGTGAGCCGGGCGGCCGCCGGCCTCCGCCTGCGCGAGGCCCCTGCGCATCTCTCCAGCGGGGGCCACGCAGGTGGAGGAGGCTGACCCAGAGAGGGGCCTGGGTTTGGCTCTGGGCAGGGTGGAGGTGGGCGAGCGCGCGGCTGGCTGGTGGCCGGTTGCTGAGCCACTGCTCCAGCTTACCGTGCAGGCTGGTGTCCGTGCAAACAAGTCTGAAAACAGACCCTCAGGGAGGTTTGGAAGACGTGAACAGTGATGCCAAGGACTCCAAAAACACTGTCATTCTTCCTTGAAATCCCACTGGGTAATATCTAATGCGTACGGAGTTGTTCTGAAATAATACTCAGATTGTAGGAAATCAGCTGAAAGCTGTATTTTGCACACTTGGGACCTGCATGGGACACCCTGGATCTGAAACTATTTCTTTTTTTTTTTTTTTTAAGATTTATTTATTTATGCATACAAGAACTGGGGTACAGGCCAGAGTTGTAGGGGGTGAGAGGATTCACCGAGATAGAGTGGGTATCAGAACAGGTGATCCACTGAAATGCACTGCTGAGGGGAGCAGCGGGCGAGAGAGGAGGGGTCTGCTGTGCCATGTGGGTCATCTCCCTGGCCAGGGATCGAACTCATGCTGCAGTGGCTGGTGATAGCGAGATAGTTTTGGGACTTAACCCCTTGTGCCATCAGGGAGGCCCCCCATGTCTTCATTTTAAATTTCACAAGCTTAGAGGATTTGGGAACTGTTTATAATGAATATGTTCATTGCAGCCTCAGTCAACCAGGTCTTTTCTTTCCCATTTTCCCAGTCTTGTGATTCGTGGTCATAAAGACGAGCAGGCTGTGGTGTGCAGTAAAGACAAAACATACGACCTGAAAATAGCAGACACTTCCAATATGTTGCTTTTTATTCCTGGTTGTAAAACTCCAGACCAGCTGAAGATGGAAGAAACACAGGGTAACATTATTTACACTGAGGTACTGTTTTCAGTCTCCTGATTTATACCAGAATGAGAAGGACATCACATGTGCTAATCTTGTCTTTAAACACTTTAGGTATGAAATGAATATTCACAGGGGAGCTGATACATATTTTATACTTTCTAGATCTTCGGTTTTTCTAACAATTATTGGGAATTAAGAAGATGTAGACCTAAATTAAAGAAGCTAAGGAGACTTTTGATGGAAAATACCTATGAAGGACCTGACAGTCAAAAAGAAAAGGATTCAAAGTGCTCAAAGGTGGGAATTTAAAAAATAGCACTATGATCAGAGGAGATATTGTTAATTTTTCAAGTTTATATTATGAAAACTTCAAACACACCCAAAAGTAGATAGAATAGTATAATAAATTCTATATCTTCATCATTTAGTTGAACATTTGTTAATATTTTATTCATTTTGTTTTTTTCCCTGCTTCTTTCCATCCTTTGTGTGTGCATGCGAGCGTGCATGCGTGTGTTTTAAAACAAATCCTAGATATCATGGTTTTATTTATATAACTGAAAGCTGCTCATGTTCCTAACTATTAAGTATACTTTTAGAGGTAAAATGCATAATTAAAAATTTATTTAGGTACTCGGGAGAGAAGGCATCAGGAACATGGAAAGTATTCTTACTCCAGTGTCAAAACTGACTATTTTTGGAAGTATAGAAAAATATTTATAGATCAATAAAAAAATTTAATTTTTATTGGAATTCAAACTTAAAGATCTCTACTGGTATTCTGAAGATCATATTTGTATTAAAAGTTCTCTCTCCATTGACTGATTTAACTTCTTTCTCTTTTTTGTGATTAATGAGATATAATACATATGCCAAATCACTCTTTTCATAATTTAACAATTCAACAGTTTTTAATCCAACAGTTCAACAGTTTTTCGAATTGTGAGAGAATCATCACCATGATCAACACCAGTAGTTTGTCAACCCAAAAAGCAATCATGTCTCCTTTTAGTACACTTTCCAATCCTATCTTCTCCTTACCTAACCTTAGTCTTGTGTAATCACTAATCTACTTTCTGTCTCTATCAACTTGCTTATTCTGGACATTTCATGCAAATGGAGTCATGATATGTGACCTTTTCTGAGTGGCTTCTTTCATTTTTAACATCATGTTTTTATGGTGCATTTGTTGTAGCATAGATCAACACCTGTTTTCCTATTTATTGTTAAATAACAACTCCATTTTATAGATACACCATATTTTTTTCACCCATTCATCCACTGATGAACATTTGGGCAGTTTGCACTTTTTGACTATTGTGAATAGCACGGCTGTGAACATTCATGTACAAGTTCCCAACAAACTTGTGTTTTCATTCTCTTAGGTACATACCTAAGAGTGGGATTGATGGGCCACAGGGGGGCTCAGTATGGCCTTTGGAGGATCTGCCAGACTATTTTCTAAGGTGGCTACATCATTTTACATTTGCATCGAATGAGGGTTCCAATTTCTCCATCCTTGATAACACTTAATATTATGTTTATGCTCCACCTTAGTGGGTTTGAAGTGGTATCAGTGTGATTTTGATGCACATTTCCCTGTTGATATAGAGCATCTTTTCATATATTAGTAACTATATATCTTTGAATGTCTGTTCAGGAATTCCTTTGCCCACTTTTTATTTTTATTTTTTTTTTTTTTTAAAGATTTATTTATTTATTTGTTTGATTTATTTATTTATACAAGCACTGGGTACAGTCAGAAGCGCGGGAGGGTGAGAGAATTCACCAAAGCCAGAGCAGGGAGCAGAGCAGGCAGAAGGACCGAAGTACACTGCTGAGGGGAGCAGCGGGCGGCAGGAGAGGTCTGCGCGCCATGTGGGACCCTTCTCCGGTGGTCAGGGAGCAGCCAGGGATCGAACCGGCACTGCAGAGGCTGCAGGCAGCTTCACAACCCAGCACTCAATCGCTGCACCACCGGGGAGGCCCATTTGCCCCCTTTTTAATTGGATTATATCCAATTGTGTTGTGATTATCTTTTTATTACTGAGTTCTTTAGATGGACTAAATCCAAGTTCCTTATCAAATAGATGACATGCAAATATTTTCTTCTGTGGGTTGTCTTTTCACTGGTTAATTTTTCTAATTGTGATAAAATGTACTTAACATAGCGTTTACCTTTTTAACCATTTTTATATGTACGGTTTTCTCTGGCATTAAGTACATTCACATTGTTCTTCAGCTATCACCACCCAGTAAACTCTACCTTCCCAGTCTCCCTTGGCCTCCCAACCCTTTGGCCAACACTATGCAAGTTCCTGTCTCTATGAATTTGACTACTCTAATTACTCCCTATAGGTGGGTTTATATATTACTTGTCATTTTGTGTTTGTCATGTTTTCCAGTACAAAAGATTTTCATTTTGATGATCTCTAAATTGTCTATTTTTTTCCTTTTGTTGCCTGTGCTTTTAGTGTCATATCTAAGAAACCATTGCCAAATCCAGTATCATAAAGATTTCTCCCTTTATTTTCTTCTATGATATACATTGATTGGTGTAATAATCATTACACATTTTAAAAAAGACACTAAGGGCCTCCCTAGTGGTGCAAGTGGTTAAGACGTAACCTATGAAGCAATCTGCAGCCTCTGCAGCACAAGTTCAATTCCCGACCAGGGAGCTACCCACACGGCACAGCAGACCTTACCTGACTCACCCACTGCTCCCCTCAGCAGTATATTTCAGTACATCTGCCTGTTCTGTTCTCCACTCTGTCTCTGGTGAGACCTCTCACCCTCTACACCTCTGTCCTGTACCCCAGTTCTTGTATGCATAAATAAATAAATCTTTTAAAAAGAAAAGACTGAGCTAGTACATAAATATGACTTTTTTTTACATAAATATGACTTTAATAATCTGTTCTATATACCTATTCTCCTAAGTTCAAAAGAAATCTAAAAAAAAAAAAATCATTTAAAGACCTTAACACTTTTTTTTTCCTGTTTCAGTATACAACTGAAGATTTGCTTGATCAAATTCAGGCAAGTGAGGAAGAAATAAAGACCCAGTTACAAGCTCTAAATGCCTGTGAGATTGGAGGTAGCATTACTTACTATTATTATCAATAATGATGGAATTGGTCATGATACGAGAGAGAGAAATTTTTAGACAACTTTATCCTATAGCATATTGTTTATTTAATCTTCTTTGGGGCTCTAAGATGATAATTGCATTTTGGGGTACATAGTGCTCATCCTTCCCCAAAGAAGTCAGGGTGTGATTTAGGACTTTAATCACACCTTATGGGGCCTTTTTCTTTGGGTTAAGTAAGTGGCAATAGGAGAACCATGTTAGATCAAGAAATGTTTTTAGATACCAGGTAATCTAATTGCTTCACTATTATTATTTTGTTGTTGTTGTTGTTCATTTTTGTACAGATGTAGACCCCATAGTTGTCCTGCCACCATTATCACCCATGAACCATCAACATATTCCTTTGTGTTCTTCCTTCCCTTGTTTTGACCTTTCTCTCTCCTGCTTCATTAGTTTTAACAGATGAGAAAAATTAAGGACTAGGAAGGGAAACTGACTTGTCCAGGGTCACATGTTGAGTCTGTTATAGAAGAAGTTGCAAAACTTAGGAACTTGAAAATCAAAATTAATTTAGTAACTACATTGTATTTCCAAATTGTTAGCAAGATGGGACTATATTTCTTAAGATGACTCTTAATATATTTTTCAATATATGTTGAACAGTTTATATAATAAATTCTATAAAAGGTTTACATATTGGTCTCAGGCTGATGGACAAGGCCAGCAGTGTCTTCTTGAATGTTTGCTGGCTTCTGGTGGGGAATTGAGCTTTTTTTACAGCATCTGGACTTGGAGTATACTTGAGTAAATGTTTCTATGTATTTTCAGCTCACTTATGCTTGTCACTGAAACAGCTTAACTCTGCACCCAAGTGTTAGGAAGGAGAAATTTGCATGGGTTGATAAAATGCACTGCTAATAAAGCAACTATATGAAACTGTAGAACTAAGTGAAAGCACAGCTCTTTACTGTCCCACAGATATACACTTAGGAATTTTAGTCCTAAACATCAGAAATAAAATTTTAATTATGAATGCCTGCTGCTAATCATTGTATGGGGATATTACAAATGTTAATATTTAAAAACAAAGGGACAAGAATGCCTTAAATAATGGATTTTTAATGCAGCCCTTGGCATTATTCACTCATTCTATAGGGATGGATAAAATCTTGGTGGGGATGGGTACATAAATTATTCCTAGTTTTCTTAATTTTACATGACACATTCCATTTTTTAATATTGCCTTTAGTTTTTCAGAATAAGAATAGCAATTATTAGATGTGATTAATGTGTATTTGATTTGTTTCTTCGAAGAGGTCAGTAGTGCCTTCAATTATAAAGTGCATTTCATTGTCTTTCCCTGCAGTAGGGAAAGGTTACTTGATGTCCAGTCTTTATTTTGCTGCCGATCCACTTTGCATCTCTGAGTCTGTCTCTCGACTGTATGAGTATAGACATACCTCTGTAAGTTAGCTCTGATGAGCATTTATCTATGTCAGTGTCCACAGTGGAGATTGCCTTATCGGATATGGAACCTGTGACTTTCATTTCATTTATATGATGTTCTGATGAAATGACTGTGCCATCTATGGTTTTCCATATTTCCACCTAAAATGACAATATTATTATGAAATAATTGAATCTTAAAACACTTCAAAAAATCAAAATGTTAGTTACATGTAAATTACCCTTTGGAAGCCATTTGAAACCTCCTCAAGACTCAATTTGAAATAATTGGAGCAAAGTATAAAAAGATACTGTTTATAAAGTAAGCTTAGACTTTTAGTGTCTGTTTTTTTTTTTGCAGTGGGCAAGAGTATGCTGCTACTTTATCAATCTGTTTTCTAAGTAATTTGCTTAACATTTATTTGGTAAAGATGACTTTTGGAATTTGTAGGATATTGGAGAATTCTGGAATTTGATTATGAAATGAAACTTCTCAATCATGTAACTCAGCTTGTGGATTCAGAGTCTTGGTCTTTTGATAAAGTTCCTTTGAATGTGTGCCTTCAGGAGCTTGGACCACTGGAGCCAGAGTAAGTGTCTTCATTTCTTGTCCCTCCAGATTTCCTTAAGGGGAAGAATGTTATTTTTCCAGGCTAGAGCTAAACTCAGGGCATAGACCTTTTATTATTATATCTTAAATAATTAAAAAAAAGTACACAGCTAAGGAGGACTTGGCAATTGTGGTCATTGGGGGAATAATAATGTGCATCATCCTTTTTTTTTTACTTTGCCATAAAGATAAAAAAAATGATTATGCTGAAGTTGTTATATTATTAAATGTGCTCATTTAATTCATAAAAGTATTTAGCATGGGATAATAAAATGTACTCTTGTGACTGACAACAACATGGATGGAACTGGAGAGGATTATGCTAAGCACAATAAGTCAGAATAAGAAAGACAAACATTGGATGGTGTTGTTTGTATGTAGTATTCAGAGAAACAAAACAAAGGGTCAGATAAAAAACAACCTAATAACACACCCTAGAAATCTGTAGAATTTAGGATACCAGAGAGAGAAGAGGAAGGGGCACAATGTTCTATAGGGGTGGGTTATAGGTCTTGGGTTGGATGTGATGTCGTGGCCTACATCTGAAAGATGTGATCCTATACCTCTCAATCATGTACAGCAACATTGTAAGCCAAAGTTGCCTAAGTTAAAAAAAAAAAAAAAGTCTAGTATGGGGCCTGGCATATAGTATCTTCCCAGTCTACTTCAGTATTATTTAGCAACCAAACTCACTTAAATTTCAAATCTCAAATTTATATCTTAGTTTCTGAAATGAAAAATATGGTTTAAAATATAATGGTTTAAAATATAATGCAGGGCCTCCCTGGTGGCACAGGGGTTAAAGTCTCACAGAGCTATATAGCTGTCGCCTGCCACTGCTGCAGAGTTCCATCCCCAGCGAGGGACCTGACCCACATGACACAGCAGACCTCTCCTGTCTCACCCACTGCTCCTCTCAGCAGTGTGTTTCAGTAGATTTGCCTGTCCTGCTCCCCACTCTATCTCTGGTGAATCCTCTCACTCCCCACACCTTTGGCCTTCACCCCAGTTATTTTATGCATAAATACATAAAAAAATAAATCTTAAAAAAATTAAAATAAAATATAATGCATCAGATTGTTGATGACTTTAAATGTCTGCTTTCAATTTTTCAGGGAAATGATCGAACACTGTCTTAAATGTTATGGAAAGAAATATATAGAGGAAGGTAAGATCTGGAATGTATTCTGATGGGTATTTTAATTCTTTCATGTTACTTTTGGTATGCCTTTCTGAAGTTTGTTTATGTTAAAAATTAGAACTCTGTATTGTGGGAGTTAACTTGTGTATAGTTCTGTGAACTTGCATTGAAGGAAACTGTTGTAGTGTATTTTATTATAAGAAGACAAAATGAAGAGATCTGATGCTTTTTCCTTAGGGGAAGTATATTTTGAATTGAATGCTGATAAAATATGCAGAGCAACCGCACATATGTTACTTCAGAACGCAGTAAAATTCAATCTTGCTGAGTTTCAAGAAGTGTGGCAACAGAGTGTTCCTGAAGGAATGATAACTAAACTTGATCAGCTTAAGGTAATAGCCACAGTAATTGCTACCATTCAACAGGTTATCATTAATTACTAGGTGGTAATTACATGGATGGATGGAAGGGGGGGGTGAGTGGGTAGATGCATGGATGGAAGCGTTAATGGGTCGATGGATGGATGGGTAAGTTGGTATACAAATGGACAGAAGGTTGGCTAGAGTATGAAAAAGGAGAATTCTCTCAGTACCCAACTATTAGCCAATATTCTTAATAAAAGAGTTCTGGCTAAAGAAATAGTTACAGGGAAATGGATAGAAAAATCTGTGATCTTAACAAATTTATAGGATTTAGTAAGTTCATGGGGGTGGAATTCAAATAAGGGAATCAAGGAGAATGCCTAGCTTTCCAGGCTTCCTAGGATAGTGGAACTATAGCAAGTTTGTGTGACAAACACAAGTTCCTAGATAGGTGTGAATACATAAGTTTTGTACTCCAAATGATTTGAGCTGAAGATACAGATACTATAGCCATTAGCAAGTAAGGGGTGTTTGAAATCACACAGTAAGGTGAGTTTCTTCATGAATAGTCACAGTGAAACAAGAGGGCTAGGGTTAGAGGCCCAACATAAAGTTAGGAAGAAAATAATGGGATGTGATCTTAGAGAAGAAGGAGTATTCAACATTAAAGAGAACAGAGCCAGGGAGATGAATCCAAGATATGGCCCATTGATTTAGAAATGACACATCAGTGACCTTTAGTGTCTTGATCAGTTGTTGGCTGTCAAAGACTGGTTACGGAAGGGAAAACAAGTCACTGCTTAAAGGAGCTCTTTTTATGAAAAAGGCTATTGTAAGTGTGGGTGTAAATTTTATGTAGTTGATATTTTAAATGCCTTGAGGTAAGGTGAACCTAAAGATAAATTTATGAGTCTGAGTTATACCTTAAAGCATTTAAACATATTCAAGCATAGATCATTTTTTAACTGTCCCTTTCTTCTCTTTTCTTGTAGGGTTTAGCATTGGTAGATAGACAATCACGACCAGAAATCATATTTTTGCTAAAAGTAGATGATTTACCTGAGGATAACCAGGAACGTTTTAATAGTCTATTTTCTATAAGGGAGAAGTGGACAGAAGAAGATATTGCTCCTTATATTCAGTAAGTAATTTATTAAAAAATGAATTTTGAGGATTATTTTTAAAGAGTGGCATAGGCTTTCAGATTTATTATAAGAAACAAATTTTTTTAGAATGTTCTTGGGAATTTTTTTTTGTTTTTTAAACTTTCTCAAGTAGTGACTCTGTTCTCTGTCACTCTCCACAACTGCTGATTCTGGAGATGGGATATATGTCCTTTTTCTTTCTTACTACTGGCTTCTAAAACCATTTCTCTTCCCTCCTTCCTGCAAAGCTGTAGCTCTTAAAGGAACACACTACATACCCACTGACTCTTTGACTGCTACCTCCTTTCTCCTCCTGTCTTAACATTTTGGTAGAGGCCAAATTGCAGAAGGACAATTTTGTTCTGAAATCACCATTTACTGGACCAGAAATCTACTAACATGACCACCTCTTCACTGGGTCACATGTCTTAAGTGCTCCCTCTTCTCTTTACCCAGATTGCATTCCTGGCCAGTCCCTCTAAGTTCTATGCATACCTTATTTCTTTGATCATCTCGCCTTGTCAGACCTCTCTGGCAAAAATTTGCAAAGATTAAGCCCAACTTTTTGCTAACTCTGTGCCTGCATTTGGACAGCTGCAGGCACAGCTTCACTTTTGAACTTAAGTGATTCTCATCAGGGTCCCTGGCAAGGTCCCATTTTCTTGTGAAACTTTTCTACCCTCAGAACTTAATTTATGTTTTCTGTACAGTTTTTATCCTGCAAAATTTGGCTTTATCCTTTACTACCTATCTGAGCTCAGTTTCCTCTTATGAATATGGGGGTAAATAAGACTTAATCCCTTCTGTTAATTTGAAGGTTAAATTAGATAATACATGTTATGTAGCTAGTTCTATGAAGACTTACTAACCTGCTCCACACACTTTTTCTTCTGTAAACACACACTGTTATATTTATTGGGAAGATGGATTTAGGAGAGAGAGATAGAAATTACTAGTACTGTGAATATTATTGTTCCCTAAAGTTGTCATGCTACTTGATTGCCTTTTTATTGTTCCCACAGGGATTTGTGTGGAGAGAAGCAAACAATAGGTGCATTACTCACTAAATATTGCCGATCTTCAATGCAAAATGGTATTAAAGTTTATAATTCAAGAAGACCCATTTCTTAAAAGAGCAAATATTTTCTTTGGGACTGAAGTTGCTTTATAAATTTTTTATTTCTAAGACAATGATTCTTTTATGTATTTGTACTTAGCATTTTTATATCACTTTTCCATTTTTTAAATGTAGCAGGATACTTTTATATCATACAGATTATGTTTTGTATTGTGTATGTATGTCTGGATTATGTGCACAGTACAAAGACAAAAGAAAGTGTTATTTCCTATGTTTAATGTATCTTTGTAGTCCATGAGGTTTTATTTTATTTATAGAAAGTTTTACTTTTTTTTTTTAAATTGCATTTCTTTGGTAAGAATATGACATTCTAGTCATTAGTATATGTAAAGTTTTCGGAAAACTATGAGTAACAGTTTCCTAAAGAAGAATTATTTATTAGCTTAAATGTCTTATCTTGAGTTTCCCTTCACCTTCCAAGTTCCATCGAAATAGGAAGTCACTAGATGCTGTCATCTGATGAGAACTAATTTGTTCCCTAAACTAGCTGTTTGCTGTGATGAAAATTGGATTGTTAGCTGCTCCAGTTTCCTGGTAGAAGTAAATGAAATGGAGTTGATCCTACAATCCTATATGAAGACTATTAATAGAACAGTTTATAATCCTATAATGGAGAATATTGATATGGGTATTACTCACTAGGAAACTACAAGTAACTTCTAGCTGATTTTGGAATGCTTAATAAAGTTCCTTTATAGCCTTCTTTCCCTAACTTGTTTCACTTAGACCAAATTTTAATTCAGCTAATGAATTTATCACAAGGACGTTTGGTAGTTCTGGCTCAGAGTTAAAAAAAAAAGTTAATGGATAATCCACAATTAATCAGGATTCAATCACTGAAACTGACAACCGTTTTATTCTCTGGCACACTAAATGCAAATACATGCATCAAAATATTTACCTTGTGTTTCAATAAATTTTTCTGCATCTGTGTGTATGGCTTATTTTTAAAATAAACACTGAGGCAGCAATGCCTAGTGAGGATTCTGGAGGTTGAGTTAGATGACCTGGGGTCTACTCCTTCTGCAGTTTAAGTCACTGGGCTCCAATGAGTTTATACTATCTGCTTACACAGAAAACTTGAGGGACAGCCCTCTTGGCTTTATGCAACCCTGATTTCCTGGCCCCCAGGCCCTGCTTCATCCACCAAATTTTGGGGTCGTAGCTCCTAAATAGCAACAATTCTCAGCCATGGTGCTGGTACTGACAGGCAAACACACAAGTGGCCTTTGCGCAAGCCCCACCCGCTGAGGAGCTTCCGGCTCCGCCCCCGTCACCGCCCACTTCCGCTGACGCAGGGGTCAGAGGTGACAGGCAACATGGCGGCTGACGGTAGTTATCAGCGGTTGCAGAGAGGCGCATCTCGGTGACAGGAGTTCCTCGCAGGCTGTGGAGGGGAGCAGAGGCGGTGGAGCGAATTTGAGGCGGCAGCGGGTCGGGTGGGGCGCCGAGGGCGCGGGAGGTGACTGTTGGGGGCGCGGGGGAGCGAGGACTGAGGTGTCGGAGGCCGGTAATGCCCCACTGCTCCCCGGGAAGCTGAGGAGACGGCCCCGCGGGATCGCTTCATGCCGCCGACTGGTTTGGAGCCCGCCAGGATGAACAGGAAGAAAGGGGACAAGGGCTTTGAAAGCCCAAGACCATATAAATTATAAGTATTTTTTTCACCTCCTCTTCCTCTTTCAGATTTCGTTATCATGTGATTGTATTTTGTGATTGCTTTGGAAACTGACTTGATGGGCTGGGAGATGTAGCGAGCAGTAGAACTCACTCGCCGGGGTGGGAATGGTGTTTGTGGGGGCGCCTTTTGAGTGAAAGTAGTATGCGATGGACCTCATGCCCCTGGCAGGAAATAAACTTTTCCGTTAAAGCATTTTGATCAGAAGAGATCTGTTTAATCTTTTGTATGAAAAGCGATCCGCTGCATTTAAAACAAGGAGTTACCTAAATTTGTACGGGCTGAAAATGAAAGCTGAAGTATGAGTTTGAGCAGCTTAATGCATCATCCTGGTTTATAGTTGGATAGACTTATGCTTTTATTTAATCGAAATATTTATTTTACTTTTATATTTTTTGATATACAACCCATCAGGTCGTCTGCATCAACAACATAAACTTCCAACGAAAATCTGTTGTGGTAAGTATCTTCTTCACAATTATAAGCAGAAACAAGTCCGCCCTGTGTATAGTGCTTAGAGACTTTCCCATCTAGACAACTGTATTACCAGAAATGGGAAGAATTAGAATTCAGATCTATATGACATCAAGGTCCAAAACCTGCCGTCTGTGCTGTCTCTTCAGTTCTCCTGTTTACTGATTAAACTTTTGATCCTTCTAATTTGTTGTGGAATATGAAAATCTTATTAAGCATTTTAGAATTGTGCATGAAACAAGAATAAGCCCATGGTAAGATTTCTTCACGAAAAAGTTAATTAAGGTTAGTGCACTCACTGACTTAGGTTGTTGGCTGCTAAGAAATGCATTTTTTTTTTTTTTTTTTCTGATTCTTGGCTGACCTGGTTTAGGTGACATTACTTTGTAGCGCAGTTTTAAATCAATTGTTTGAAATCAATGCACCCCAGACCCTAATATGGGTTGTTGATATAATCCATTCTGGGAAAGTCCATGACAACCCAAGTACTTAATTTACTCTCTCAGGGGGACCTGTATTAAACCAACTGCAAATCTTAGTAAGATTTGTAAGTAAGAAGTGATAACATCAGGGCTGCCCTGGTGGCTCAAGGGATTAAGACACAGCACTATGAAGCTATGGGCAGCCACTGCAGCAGGAGATCGATCCCTGGCCAGGGAGGTGACCCACATGGCCCAGCAGACCTCTCTTCTCCCTGGTGCTCCCCTCAGCAGTGAATTTCAGTTAATCCGCCTGTTCTGCTCCCGGCTCTGTCTCTGGTGAATCCTCTCACCCCCCACACCTCTGGCCTGTGCTCCAGTTCTTGTATGCGTACATAAATCTTAAAAAAAAAAAAAAAAAAAAAAAAAAAAGATAACATAAACTTCCTCTCAAATATTTGCCTGTGTGTATATAATGTTAACATTAAGCTAAAAATAAATGAATAAATAAAAAGGTGCTTTTTTCCCCATAAGAATCATAGGTTCTTAGATTTGTAAGGATTGTGAAAGGTTTATTAAGTCTAATCTTATTTGAGAAATTTCTCTGTTAATTTCCTTACGTATCATTATTTACCTTTTCCCTTGCAGAAGGATGCTTTGGGTGTGTTGTGTGAAACTGGTTAGGGAAAATATGAAAATTGGGGAGCCTCATTAAAAGGTTACCAAAGTAACTTAGAGCAGAAATCTGAATGAAGATATCTTTAGTGAAGACGATACAGAAACAGAGTTAACAGAACTTATTGAATTATAATGAACATTTATTGAGTACTTGTGTAAAACTTTCTTCTAATCTTCTTACTAACTCCTCAATAACTTAATAACTCTTCTCAATAACTTCTCAATAATTTAATCTTCTCAATAACTCCATGAGGTAGATAATATATATTAATCCTTATTTCTGTAAATCAACTGAAAGAATGAAAGCTCACTGAATTTTTAAGGACATACAGTTAGCAAATGATGGGGCTGGTTTTTAATTTTTTTAATTTTTTTATTTTTAAAGATTTATTTATTTATTTATACAAGCACTGGGTACAGTCAGAGCACAGGAGGTTGAGAGAATTCACCAGAGCCAGAGCAGGTTGTAGAAGAGGCAGACGGATGAAGTACACTGCTGCGGGGAGCAGCGGGCGTCAGGAGAGGTCTGCGTGCCATGTGGGAACCTCGCCTGGTGGCCCCGTATCAAACCAGCACTGCAGAGGCTGCGGGCAGCTTTGCAACCCAGCGCTCAACCGCTGCGCCACCGGGGAGGTGATGGGGCTGTTTTTAATCAAGGATGACTTAAGAGTCTCCTTTCTTCTCTCTGCCTTCTCTGCTTCTGGCAAAATGACAGAAGAAAAATGTATCCGAGTTCTGGATGATTTTTAGGTTTCCCACTAGAAAAGTTGGATGTTGTATAGGATAAGTTTTCAAAAATTTTCTGTTCACTTTATAGCCCTTCCATATTTTGTATTTTAAGTACAACAGTTTTCAACCCAGAATATTAAAATCACTGAACATATGTTCTCTGTTTCTTTAGTCAGTCTTTCCCACTTGATTAATGTAAGAGAGTGGCGGTCAGTGGAGTTAAGAATAGTTAGCTTTCTCTCATGTTGTAGGAACACATTTCAGATAGATTATCCCCACATGATTAACATGGTAGAACTATATGTGGCCACAGAAGAGATGTCTATGAACAGAGACTCATACTTGTTAGCTGCGGTGGGTACTTTTGTACTGCCTTTGGAAGGCCATATTCTTAGTCACCAATCTAGTTTTCATTTTTCTTCTGTTCTATCATTTTTTCCCTTCTTCTGCTAGAAATTCTACTTGAGTGTACTGAGTCTTTTAATTTTTTTCTAGCAGATGGTTAATTTTCACTGATAGTGAATGTGAACCACCAAGATAAAATAATAGATAAAATATGTAAATAAAATGTACTTAATTCACACCCATTCAGTCACTAGGACAGCCATGTTAGAAATGAACATACTTGCAGAACACCTAAATGTTTGTAGTAATTTGGGGTGAGGCTATAGTCTAAGTAGTAGAAATCAAAGAAATATTTTCTAAAATATACCACTCTTAATTAAAATGAAATTATTATTCTTTGTCTTTATAGGGATTCGTGGAACTGACGATATTTCCCACAGTTGCAAACTTGAATAGAATCAAGTTGAACAGCAAACAGTGTAGAATATACCGAGTAAGGATCAATGACTTAGAAGCTGCTTTTATTTATAATGATCCAACCTTGGAAGTTTGTCATAATGAATCAAAACAGTAAGTTATGTATTTTAAACATTGATATCTCTGACTTTATTGTTGTTTTTTCATATGATTGGATATCTTTTCTCTATAAATTTTTCTTACATTGTTATTAGACTCTGGATCCTCAATTTTGTTTTCTAATTATACTTTCTGTTGCTTTTACCAGTCTGAAAATTTCACTCAATAAATATTGCCACTTCTGCACACACAATAAGTTTTAATGTTTCCCTTCTTCAAAGAAAAAACATCATGAGTTTTCTGACAACCCAATATATACTATATATAAGTGGTTGGATCCCTTATCGATTATGGTTAAGAAATATAGATAATTTTTTTAACTCAATCACGATTACTCAATGTTAGTTGTTTTAATAGTATTACTTAGAATTACCATTAGGGTTCTAAGAATTTTCATTTAATCAGATTTTCCAACAGGAATTTTCCCTATCCTCCTACACCTTCTGCTTGAATTGAAGAGCTAACTATATCTTAAAGGATTCCTTTTGTTATTTCTGAATGCTCCAAGGTTCTTCATTGCATTGAGCTGCATTCCATTTTGGTATAATGTTCACAAACTTACCTTAATTAAATATTATTTTCCCCGAAGTTTACTCTTTTCTGTGATATAGAATTTCAGTACTTTCAGCCATTCCTCATGTAAAATTTTTTGCAAATTTGTCACTATTCTCTTAGCCCTTCTCTGGATACTCTCTGGTTTACCTGTGTTTTCTTACATGTACTGATCCTAGAACTAGACATATACTTCATGCTATTGGGACTGTTCAGCACATGCATAACAGTAGAGCCATTTTATTCTTTATTCTTTATCAATATTTCTAGTGCCTTGAAATTCCTTAGCCTGTAACAACTACTTTAAGAATAGTTAACTCAAGTTTGAGTTTGTAGTCAGTGAAGCCACCTAAACAAAACCTGTTAAGGTAGATTTTTCTCTTAAGCAATCTTTTTACATGCTTTTGATCAAATTTTTTTGAGGATTTAAGAAGAAAAGTCATCCTTATTAATGTTGGTATTAGTCCCATTTCTGGAAACTGATTTTTTTCTCTTAGCTGGCTTTTTTTTTTTTTTTTCTGTATGTAAACTATCAAACTTAAAAGCAAGATAATGAGTGTTGACTCATCAGCATGTACAGTAACTAGAACTCTCAAACACTGCTGTGAAAATGTGTGTTGAAATTGAATATATGCATACACTGATTTACAGTCTCACTCCTAGGTATTAGAATGAAATAGATTGCAATAAAAATTTCACAAAACAAAACAAAATTGTGTTCAGATGTTCACCAAGAAAATAGCAGCATGTGTAATAGTCAAAATAGTCAAGAGTGGAAATTACCTGAAAACCCACCAGTGTTAGAGTGGTAAATTATGTTATGTTTTCATATTGTTGGAATTCTAAACAGTAATGAAAATGAATATCCATTAATTGTATATAATAGTGTGGATGAACCATATAAACTTAATGTTGAGTAAGAGAAGCCAGACACAAAAAGATATATATATTAAGCTGTTTATTGAAAATAGATGCCAGGATAACAGGTTGCCCTTGGTGGTGGGAAGTAGGCTTGGTTAGTGATCATAAGAGCACACAGGAAACTTAATGGGAGGCTGGTAAAGTTCTTTTGTTTGGGATGTTGGCCACGTAGGTTTTTCAGTGTGGAAAATTTATCTAATGGGATACTTACACTGTGCGTACTTTCCTGATGTATACTATACTTCCATGAACATTTTTTTTTAAAGATTTATTTATTTATTTATACAAGCACTGGGTACAGTCAGAAGCGCGGGAGGGTGAGAGAATTCACCAGAGTCAGAGCAGGGAGCAGAGCAGGCAGAAGGACCGAAGTACACTGCTGAGGGGAGCAGCGGGCGGCAGGAGAGGTCTGCGCGCCAAGTGGGACCCTCCTCCAGTGGCCAGGGAGCAGCCAGGGATCGAACCGGCGCTGCAGAGGCTGCGGGCAGCTTCGCAACCTAGCGCTCAACCGCTGCGCCACTGGGGAGGCCCCATGAACATTTTTTTTAAAGATTTATTTTAAAGATTATTTTTAAAGATTTATGCCAGGTGGTGAGAAGATTCACCAGAGACGAGTGGGGAGCAAAACAGGTGGGTCTACTGAAATACACTGCTGAGGGGAGCAGTGGGCGAGACAGGAGAGATCTGCTGCGCCATGTGGGTCAGCTCTTGGCCAGGGATCAAACTCATGCTGCAGTGGCTGTGGACAGCTTCATAGTGCTGAGACTTAACCCTTGCACACCACGGAGGCTCCACCATGAACATTTTTTAAAATAGAAAGTTTCCAAGCATTTGTATCATGTTTTGGAAAATCTGCACCTATATCTTAAGAATCACATGTTCTTTCTGTGACAAAGAACTAACAGATTATTTTAATTAAATGTGGATGGTTACAATGGTTCTCAGAATAAATTGTTTTCATTGCCTTAATTTAAAATTTTTTCACTATCCCACTTTTCACATTTAAGCTTTGTTTCAATGAGAAGGACTAGACTTTGGGGACCATGGTGGTTATAGGGCCAGGGCACATTAATATTTTACAGTCCTCATCATTCTGAAAATTGAAAACACATAATCCCACCCTGTAATTTTTCACTTTTATGAGGTTATTTTGAAAGGAAACATATTTGATTCATGTTATGATAGAAAACACTGGAATCCAAACCCTCAGAAGATTTAATTCATAACCAACTTCCCAAAGTTCCATTTATAATGACTCACCATTTTATTTGGCCCACTCTAATTTTTCTCAGGAGATGAGGGGATTAAGTGAGAATAATTTCCCATAAAAAACTAATCAGTTTAATATGTAATGTTTAAATTTGAGTTTTTTCTGCAACAATTTTTCATTTTAGAATTTTACGGATAAATTGAGCAAGATACAATTTCTTCAAGCAGTCTCAAATTTCATGTTTTTAAATTTTGTTGAAAACAAGTTACAATCTATATGCATACAAAATAGTCTTTAAAAATGAATGGTGGGGCCTCCCTGGTGGGGCAAGGGGTTAAGCACCACACTGTGAAGCAATCCGCAGCCTCTACAGCATGAGTTCAATCCCCGGCTGGCCAGGGAGCAACCCACATGGTGAGGCAGACCTCCCCTGTCTTGCCTGCTGCTCCCCTCAGCAGTGTATTTCAGTTGGTCTGTTTGTTCTATTCCCCGCTCTGTCTCTGGTGAATCCTCTCACCGCCCCACCCCCAACCCCAAGCTCTGGGCTGTACCCCAACTCTTGTATGCATAAATAAATAAATCTTAAAAAAAAAAAAAAGAATGGTGTCTTAATTAAGTGCTGGCAAAGATGGAGCAACTGGCACTTTCATATATTGCTATTCAGAGTGCAGAATATGTTATAGCCATTCTGGAAAACAATCTGGCAAATTGGTACAAAATTGAACATACGTTTACCCTGTGACTCAGCAGGCCCTTTCTTGCAGGTTTGTACTACAGAAATGAAGATTATATTCACATTAAACCCTATACACAAATATTCACAGCAGTGATAACCACAACCTAGAAACAACCTATCTTTTAGTAGGTGAATGAATAAACAATCTGTGGTACAATCTATATAATGGAATACTATTAAGTATGAAAGGAACAAATTACTGGTGCCTGGATGAATTTCAAAGACATACTGTATAGAACAAGCCTTATTTGAGATGTTAGAACTTTTCTATATTCTGGTTGTGACAGTAATCAGGTAAATCTATTCATGTGTTAAACTTAAACCTCATAGACTTGTATACCAAAGAAAGTAATGTTACTTGTAGTATATGATAATTTTCAGAAAGTGTATATTAAAATAGTTATTGTGGCCCTAGCTACTTCCAGAATCTTTTGCATTTGTTAAGAAACATAATAATACATTGTTCTTAAAACACATTAGTGGAGATACAGAGATGGCAGAGGTGGGGAAAGGCCTCTGTCAAGTTAAGAGTATATAACTTTAATGTTTTCTTTAGTGACTTTTAGTGACCTTTTTTCCACCATAATCATTGTAAAATATATAAAATTTCTCTAGGTTAAAAATTTGCCAGGCTAGGGCCTCCCTGGTGGCTCAGGGGGTAAAGCTCAGCACTGTCAAGCTATTGCCAGCCACCTAGACATGAGTTCTATCCTGGGCCAGGGAGCTGAATCACATGGTGCAGCAGACTTCTCCTGTCTCGCCCCTGCTCCCCTCAGCAGTATATTTCAGTCAGTCTGCCTGTTCTGTTCCCCATACTCTCTCTGGTAAATCCTCTCACCCCTTATACCTCTGGCCTACACCCCAGTTCTGCTATGCCTAAATAATTAAAAAGTCTTTAAAAATAAAAAATTTGCTAGACTAGTGAAATGTCACTACCATTACTTGTGGAATTTTCTAATGACCAGATGGTACAGATAAAGATGCACAAGAATATGACTCATAGTATTCGTGTCTTTGATCTTGATTTCTTGTTCTTGCCATTCCTTGCATTTTGTTTTTTTCTGTTTCTTCCATATTCCTTTAACTGATTTCCCAGAGGAAATATAATATGTATATATGTTTAGAGATAAGCTGTTTTATGGAGTTAAGTTGGAATATCAGATGAGGAAAATGTTTCCATGTTTTCAAGATAAGACATAAGACTTCTCTGTGGTTTTCATCCAATGAGAAATAAAGCCAAGTAACTACAAGTAAATATTTGCAAATCCTCTGGCATATATAGGATATAACAGAACCAGCCCAAAGTTCCTCTCCTTCATTAAGCTTACATTGCTATGTACTAGGGAGTGAAGGTGAGCAGAATTACATTTTGAGAAAAATAATTCACATCCTGACTTTAGACATCATAATTTCTGTCAGACCTCTTAATTTAGACATTTTGAATTTCCATTCAAAAATTTGTTAGGCTGGTAAAAAATATTTCCTTAATTCTACATATATTTTTTACACTTTTATCAGAAAAAACTAGTGGCTTTGAATTCCAAAATTAAGAGATGTAGTAATCATAATAATCTCACAGCATGGTAGCATGTGGAATATATATGCCATCATATTTATAGTTTAATAGTGTATGTCATGATGACTAAAAAGCATTCTGAAGTATTATATAAGAAGATATAATGCTTAGAAATAAATGGTGGAACCATTTAAGAAAGTGCTTTGTGAAATACATGATGTATTGTTAAAGTTGTCTCTTTTTTCCCCCTAGGAGAAATCTCAATTACTTTTCTAATGCTTATGCAGCTGCCGTTAGTGCTGTGGATCCTGATGCAGGAAATGGAGAACTTTGTATCAAGGTTCCATCAGAGTTATGGAAACACGTTGATGGTAAAATACCAGCTATCTACTGACTACAATGAAATTATGTTAGACCCCATGACTGGAAATTTTACATGAAAATTAATGATGTCAAAATTGTAAATTAACCAGTTGAAATAATTCAGGAGTTGGAAGCTCTTTTTTTTTTCTCTAAAGGATCATTTCACTGTTGTTTTTAAGGTGAAAGTTATAAAAAAATTGAATGATGCAGTTAAGATTTGAGAACCCACAGAATATCAAATCAGTTTAGTATTTTAATATTTTATAGCAGTAAGGATCCTAAAAAAATCATGTGGTTCAATTCCTTCCTTTTACAAAAGAATGATCAGAAGTCCAAGGAAAGTAAATAGTTGCTAATTAGTAGTAGAGTCAAGACTAAACTATAGAGTTCAGCACCCATTTTGCATACTTTTGAAATACTCATGCCTTCTTTCTTTCTTTTTTTTTAAGATTTTTAATTTATTTTTGCATAGAAGAACTAGGATATAGGCCAGAAGTGTGGGGGCTGAGAGGATTCAGCAGAGACAGAGTGGAGAGCAGAACAGACGGACTGACTGAAATACACTGCTGAGGGGAGCAAGAGCCAGATAGGAGAGGTCTGCTGCGCCATGTGGGTCAACTCCCAGCCTGGGGATCGAACTTGTGCTGCAGTGGCTGCAGATAGCTTCATAGTGCTGAAACTTAATCCCTTGCACCATTTGAAAGGCCCCCTCATGCCTTATTTCTGTGTCTGGCTTCTGTATAAAGTTAACTGTCATTATAATAATAAAACATAATCTTCCGCCTTTATTAAGCTTTATAAAAATTAATCAAGATAGGGAAGAAAATCTTTGTTTTTGTTTTCTTTTCGTAGTTTTTTTGGGGTGTGGGGGCATTGCCCAATTTAGGAGACAGGCATTGTGACCATCATTGTGTATTCAGGTATTAGAGATAGTTGTATGTTATATTTGTAGTGTTTTGGGTCGGATTAAAAACCTCTTTTATGAAAGCAACATATTTATTATATAGAAGTCAAACATAACAAAAAACATAGTATATAAAAAAATGCAGAATGTAAATTTGTGGATAGTCCTTCCCACCTCCTTTTCCATACTCCTCAAAGTCAGCTAGGGTTAGCAATCTGTGGAGGAATGTAATAAGAACAAATTTGAAAAATATGTTTTGGTTTGGATCTGGAAGTCTTTAAGTGTCCTATGTGGAAATTTTGAACTTTTTTTTAGGAAATTTTTAAGGTAACACTATTAGTAACGCTATCGGGAGGGCATGGCATGACCAGAAATATATTTTGGAAGAACACAGCTAGCAGTGACGGGTATGAGTGTAGTTAGGATACCAGTGGGGCCAGGCAACTGAGTGTGAAGTATAGATGTAGAGATGGTGAAAGCCTGAACTAGGGTAGGTATTGTGGTTTTTCATGTAAACCAGAGCCTTTAATTCTGTTATGTTCAAAATAAATCTTTGCCTTTCTTACATTTATATACTATTATTACTTAGTTATGCATTTTAATGTATTAATCTTTGTATGTATTTATCTGTTGCAGAATTAAAGGTCCTAAAGATACACATCAATTTTTCCTTGGACCAGCCAAAAGGAGGTCTTCATTTTGTGGTACCCAGTGTGGAGGGAAGTATGGCAGAGAGAGGTGCTCATGTTTTCTCTTGTGGGTATCAAAATTCCACAAGGTAGATTATTAACTTTTATATATTTCAATTGCATTTTTCTCTGTTATGTAATACATGTATTTAATGTAAAATGGGCAGTACAAGTTTGATCCCCTAAAGTACTACTGCAATTCTGGATCTTGTTCCATTTATTATTCCTTTTCTTTCTTTCTTTTTTTTTTTTTTTTTTTTAAGATTTATTTATTATGCAAACAAGAACTGGGGTACAGGCCAGAGGTGTAGGGGGTGAGAGGATTCACCAGAGACAGAGCGGGGAACAGAACAGGCAGATTGACTGAAGTACACTGCTGAGGGGAGCAGTGGGTGAGCCAGGAGGGGTCTACTTGCACCATGTAGGTAGCTCCCTGGCTGGGGATCGAACTTGTGCTGCAGTAGCTATGAGGATAGCCTCATAGGTTGTATCTTAACCTCTTGCGCTACCAGGGAGCCCCTATTATTCCTTTTCAATCCCAACTTCCTCTTCTCTGGCATATAATAAATAAGGATATGAATTGATAGAAAATTGAATAGAAACCTTATGTCTAGCTTTATCAACACTCTGTTTGAATTTATACAGTACATCATATATTGTAAAAAAAAAAATCTTCCTAACTTGTGGAATAGATTCTGAATATTGTGTTCTTTAAAATGATTACCATGTTTTTAGTTTCTATAAATATATACTACTAAAAACTAATGCAGATATACAAGTTGAAGTTTTTAATTTTAAAATTGCAAACAAAAAATTCAATGCCTTTTCATAGGGTTAGAACTGGCAAAATCACATAATATATTAATATTGCCAAATAATGTTTGGAAATAGGTTTCTTTTTTATTTATTTTATTTTTTTTAATTAATGAAGTGCCATTGCTTTACTTTGTTAATAGTTTGACAATATACGTTTTTTCCCATCACGTGTGGTCATCATAGTGCCTTCACCACCATAGCGCCCAGGGTACTTCGCGATACTTTGTTGTGTTTTCCCCTCCCCCATCTCTCCCTCCTCTAGCTCTCCCTTCCTGAATGTCTCATATCTATTGTCTGTTGTCAGGGGTTGGTTTGACCTTTTGGTTTCTCTATATTCCACATATAAGTGACACCATCTGGTATTTATGTTTCTCCTCTGGCGTGTTTCACTTAGCATCATTCCAGCTCCATCCATGTTAGGTCTCTATTTTTAATCAGGTTCTTTTCAGGTTCTTTTAAGCTACACTGAGTAAAAGGCTTTAGTAGCTAAATAGCTGAAGTTTCCTTTTTGTACATATTCTAGAAATGTTAAAATAGGCTGTATATGGCGAAAACAAATGTATGTTCAAATCTCAAGGTATGTTCTGTACTGTCTTTTTCCCTAGATTTTGGTTCCCATGTGTTGATTCATACTCTGAGTTATGTACATGGAAATTAGAATTTACAGTAGATGCTGCAATGGTGGCTGTTTCCAATGGAGATTTGGTTGAGACAGTGTATACCCATGATATGAGGAAGAAGACCTTCCATTACATGCTTACCATTCCAACAGCTGCATCCAATATCTCCTTAGCCATTGGACCTTTTGAAATACTTGTTGATCCTTATATGCATGAAGTAAGTTGTATCTTCCTGTTCCTTTCTCTCCTCCCACCCTACTGCTGGTTAAAAAAGATATTAATGAAAAACTAATTTTTTTTTTTTTAAATAGAGGCATGTTTTTATTTTATTTATTTATTTGTTTGTTTGTTTTTTGTTTATACATGCACTGGGTACAGTCAGAAACGCGGGAGGGTGAGAGAATTCACCAGAGCCAGAGCAGGGAGCAGAGCAGGCAGAAGGACCGAAGTACACTGCTGAGGGGAGCAGCGGGCGGCAGGAGAGGTCTGCGCGCCATGTGGGACCTTCCTCCGGTGGCTGGGGAGCAGCCGGGGATCGAACCGGCGCCGCAGAGGCCGCGGGCAGCCTCGCAACCCAGCGCTCAACCGCTGCGCCACTGGGGAGGCCCGAAAAACTAATTTTTTAATTCTTCTTTCTACTTTTGAGTATCCTGAAAGAAAAACTTTTCCTTATCTGATATATTTAATGATAGGAATTCTTGAATTCCTTTCAAAATTTTGTCATATTAAATTTCAGATTTTTTTTAACAGAGATTTTAGTATTCCAGAGAGCTTTGAGTATACCTTAGGTAGAGTATAGATGATTTCTGTAACTAATTCTGTTCATTACTAATGTTGTGTTTTTATTCCGAATATGTTTTCTGAATGTAACAGTCTCATCTCTAGATTCTAAAATATTGGAATTTCAAAATTAAAAATGTTCTTCAGCATATGCGGAAGAAAAGAGAAAAAGCTGAGGCAGAGCTGGCATTCTGCCCAGCAAATTCAGTGAAGCCTTCTTACACGTTCCTCCCAGTCTGTATCTGCCATAAAGCATATCCTAATTGATAGGCCAAATAGTGTGTTTAGATGTCCCATGCATGGACTTCTGGTTAAAATGTGATTTATTGATTAGTAAGCCTCTTGGCTTCTGTACATATAAAAAGTAACATTTGGATGAATCTTTTTATTTACTTTTAGTCCTTTAAATTTTTAGTTTTATTTTTCTTATTTTAAAATATAAGGCTTATATTGTGACAATGTATATCTCAACAGTATTTCTTTTAGCTAGGTGGGCAAAAGTTGAGAGAACAAGGTTTAGACTACTAGTAAGCAACTAGTTCTCTTCTGATAATTGCTTTTCTGAAATTCATGCATTTGATGAAATCACTCATGGCAAATACGATATTTTGTGAACCGTTTCTGCTCTTGCTATCTTTATAAAAACTTTTTAAAGTGTATTCACTGATAAGATTGGCAGTGAATTTTACCATCTTTGGTAAAAAATCAACCTTAATATCAATATTTGAGTAGTACCGACTTTGTTTTTTGGAAGAATTTTTTTCTCCCACCCCAAACCATGGGTATAGGAAAAAGGTAAATGACAATTGGGTATTTTTCTTGAATACTTAACAACCTGTGACTTAGTTTTTTTTTATCTCAATAAATAGTTTTTACCACATTATTAGTTAATTTGCTATCATGTAGCTTTGTCTAAATGTGAATCTTTTTTGGTGAACATTATTTTTTGTTCGTATGTCAAGAGGAGTGTTAATATACATTTTGTCATCTGACTATTAATAACACATAGTTAATCATCCTTCATTATTGTGGTAGTCTCTACTCTGTTCTTTTATATTGCTAGTGGGACGATTTTTCTTCTTTGTTTTTAAAAATGTTTTTGTCTGCACAATCCAGCAGTAATCAGAACTCTTATTTATTTATTTTTTTAAAGATTGGTTTATTTATGCATACAATAACTGGGGTACAGGCCAGAGGTGTGGGGGGGGGTGAGAGGATTCACCAGAGAGAGTGGGTAACAGAACAGGCAGATTGACCAAAGTACTCTGCTGAGGGGAGCAGGAGAGGTCTGCTGCGCCATGTAGGTTGCTCCCTGGCTGGCCGGGGATTGAACTTGTGCTGCAGAGGCTGCAGACAGCTTCATAGGTTGCGTCTTAACCTCTTGAGCCACCAGGGAGGCCCAATCAGAACTCTTTTACATGACTTTCAGGCTATTCTAGATTTTGGGCCCAGTTTTCTTTTCCAATCTTTTCGCCATTAATTTCCCAGCTGTATTTGTTATATCTTATGAAGTTTGCATAGATTTTTCTGATCATAACATATTTCTTCCCATCTTTGAGTCTATTTGTTATGTCCTCTCTTTACCTTATCAAACATCTGGTCAATTCATAAAAGATTAACTTATATTCAATCACCTATGTAAAACCTTAATGGGTCATTCTAGTAATGGTGATCTTTATCTGATTGATGTCATTCATTTGACACAGACTCATAATATGGGATAAGAAGGTACATGACATTTGCTTGTCTGTGTCCAAGGTGGAATGTCAACTAATATGAAAATCAGAATTAATAATTCTTTTGTGAGTGTTTATCTCCTAATGACCAATACATTTCCCTGCTGTTTTCAATATGTAGTTGATATATTAAAGGATGATTACAGTAATTGTTCTTTATATGCAGTTAGGATGGTATGATTAATATTAACTATTAGTTATTAAGATAGTACTATGACATTAGGTATTTGTGAGTCAAAGGTAGCTTTACAGTAAACTTTGGAAAGTTAAATCTTGTTTTGTGTGTGTATGTAGAATAAATTTTAATTTGAACTAGTTATATTTTCATTAGATCTAAGCATTTCCCAGATTTATAGTCTATCAAGAATTTAATTTCTGAAATACAAATAATGTTTTGAAAATAGTAAACATCACTAATCACACCAGCATTTTCTTTCAGTGCCATGATTTGGGCACTTTACCATAAAAGGGGGAAGGAACTTATGTGAAACCTTATTCATAATTGAGATATTTAGGAGATTTGCAATATTAAAGTTAAGTTTTTCAATTAATGATCTTTTCTGCTTTTTATTTTTAGGTTACTCATTTTTGTTTACCCCAACTTCTTCCATTGCTTAAACATACCACATCATACCTTCATGAAGTTTTTGAATTTTATGAAGAAATTCTTACATGTCGTTACCCATACTCCTGTTTTAAGACTGTATTCATTGATGAAGCTTATGTTGAAGTGGCTGCCTATGCTTCCATGAGCATTTTTAGGTTGGTGTCTCCAGAAATATGAAATGCCTGAATTTAGGGTAATGATGTGAAGACAGGTTATTTTGTAATCAGTTTTAAGGATATGTTTTCAACTTTTTCCCTTAATTTAGAATGATTGCCTTTGTAGAAGATATAGTATTTTTAAAATTTACAAATTTAGAAAAGCATAGAGATGTAAATTTTAAAATACCCCAAATGCTCATATTATCTTCTTCCACAATTACTGTACTAGTATTTTACATATTTCTTGTAGTGTCATTCCTGCTTATGCATTTCAAAAAAAAATTAACTCATACACTTAATAAAAATATGATTATATGGATCGTTGGTAGGATTATTTTCCTAGCAGTACTTTAAAATAGCACTATTTAAAAATATACCAAAAAATAATACTGTACCAAAAAAAGAGAGGGGAAACTTAATTTTCCTTATTTTTCTATCCTCTCTTCTTATTTCTTTCATTACTTGAAAGGTTCCAACTTTAGAGGTTTTATATCTCCATGTCATTTATTTTACTTTTTTGTACCTAAATTTTCCCATCTGCAAAACAGGAATGGTATTGCCCTCACGTTCTACAGAGTGTAGTTGTTACAAGGATCTGATGGGTGATATATGTGAAAGTAAAAAATAACAAAAAAAGATTATTTTTTTTTTTTTATTTTTAAAGATTTATTTATTATTTATACAAGCACTGGGTACAGTCAGAAGCGCGGGAGGGTGAGAGAATTCACCAGAGCCAGAGCGGGGAGCAGAGCAGGCAGAAGGACCGAAGTGCACTGCTGAGGGGAGCAGCGGGCGCGGCAGGAGAGGTCTGCGTGCCATGTGGGACCCTCCTCCAGTGGCCAGGGAGCAGCCGCGCCATGTGGGACCCTCCTCCGGTGGCCAGGGAGCAGCTGGGGATTGAACCGGCACCGCAGAGGCCGCGGGCAGCTTCGTAACCCAGCGCTCAACCGCTGCGCCACCGGGGAGGCCCAAAAAAGATTATTTTTTAATAGGGAAAAATTATTGATATTAGAAGAGTGCTTCATAGCAGGTCTGGTCTCTGATTAGTATGTCAGTTTCTGAGTAATGATGATTCTCCATCCACACCCCCAAAAGTATTTATATTTTTTGTGGAATGAATGGGAAACTTTGTATTCTTGCTTTTAGCAAAAGTTTTTAAGGTAGCTTAAAAACTTGGGTGGTGTCAGTTAAATTTTGAAAGAACATGAAAGCTCTTGGGGAAAATATTGTGATTTTTCTTTTTACGTCCAACTTAAATTTCATTATTTTAAAAAAATTGACTATTTTATTTTGACTAATTGTTTATTTCTTAGTTTTAACTGTCTCCTCTTAAATTCCAGCACAAATCTTTTACACAGTGCCATGATTATAGATGAGACACCTTTGACTAGAAGGTGTTTAGCTCAGTCCTTGGCTCAGCAGTTTTTTGGATGTTTCATATCCAGAATGTCTTGGTGAGTAATTTCAAAGTTTATAGTTCCTGAGAAAAAGAATTTCATAGTGGATGTTGAACTTTGTCCTACTTCTGGATAATTAATTTAAGACACTAATCTGTATTTAGGTAATATAAATTTCATCCTATATTTTCTACCATGAGTTCAGTTAATTCTCCAGTTTATAATAAAATAAAGTGAAAATTTTGATAGCAACAATCTTAAAGAACTGAATAAATACTATAGATATAAGGATTTGGGTGTAGAAAAGTATAGCTGGAATGCTGATGTCAGTGTTCAACATAGCTGGCAATGGTCAAGGTAATGTTTAAAGCAAAATATATTTCTGTACAGTCATGATAAAGATGTAGGGATATTCTTGCTATCACCTAGCTCTATCCTAATTTACTTGAAAGATGCGAGTAAAACACTTTCTCTTTTCATTTTGATTAACTTGAGATGAATTTGAAGAAATACATGGTCTCCCTTATGATTATAGTTTATAGTTATGACCATTCTGTACTGTACATAATACATGAATCTTAGTTTCTTTTCCTTTCCTATTGGAGCGGAGAAGACAGAGAGCAAGTGCTCATGATTTGTAATTTTCCTAACATTACTATAGTTTTATTAAAGACTAATGATTAGACCATGGCAGGCAAAATGTTTGAGTAAGCAAATGAAATGAAAGGATAAATATGCAAGTGAAGAAATGAAAGAATGGTGTCAATTGTGTTTCCTCTTAAGAAACTAAAAAATCAATTAATTACACATGGGGTCTTGGAATTTCAGTGATAAGTATGCATGGGATTGACAGTTAGAATGAGGACTTTGAGAATTGAATAGTACGTTCCTGGTTCTGGGAAGTAAGTATTCCTTGTAAGTAGACAGTGTGAGCAGAGTTGGGCAGGAGGGAAACAAACAGCACTGCCAGAACAGAGCACAGCATGGATACATTATACTTGTAATAAGACTATAAAGCTGTTTTTTTAATTATTATTTTTACATTGGAGAAGGACAGGTTTATTAGGAAAAGGAGAAAAGAAAAGGAGACACCTGATAGCCACAGGTGGGCAGAGAGCTGCTGCTGCTGCTTTGCAAAAGGGAAAGTTTTGTGAAAAATAAACGCCTGCATAGTCACAGGCAGGCCGGGGAGCTGTCTATAAAACAGTTTCATAATTAATTGAGATAAAGCCAGATATGATGAAAGTTCTAATGAATGGAAAGGTAGAACTGGAGGAAATGGAAAAATCAAATAATTGATAATAACTTTAAGAAGGCAGAAAAGTACACCTGGCACTGTTCTGTTACCCTCTCTGGCCTTTGATCGAGAATTTTTATGATTAAAAGAAATTTGTGTTTTGCTTAGGTCTGATGAATGGGTACTGAAAGGAATTTCAGGCTATATTTATGGACTTTGGATGAAAAAAACTTTTGGTGTTAATGAATACCGCCATTGGATTAAAGAGGTAAAAATAGCTAAATTCATTTTCCACATAAAAGTTAGTAAGACATGTGAGTATTTTCCTGATTCTAAGTCACCAAGTCCTTTATTTTAAAAGATTATAAAATATTTACTGCCATTTGAAAGTCCTTAACATTTCCGACAACATGAAGATCACTTTACTGAGAAAGACTAATGGTCTCTTTTATCTAGTTTTATTGTGTGGTAGTGGGTCTCAAAACTTTTTTAGGAGGAGAATGTTTAAGCTCCTTACATATCAAATTAGTCTTTAGAGATATCCACATCCTGATAGTAGTATTTATAATGTAACTCTGTATATTCTGGAGTCAGATTGCTTTTGAATTTGTCTCATACATTTACAAACTTTGTGACTTAGTTTAATCTTTCCAAACCTCATCTATGAAAGGAGAATAGTAATGGCATTAGAAATCCTACGGACAGGGAATTGTGAGACATCACGCATGTTCAAGTGCATGGGGCCTGGTACATAGTAAGTGCTTGTTCTTGCTGACTAGTCTTTATGCATATATGTGTTCTCTCTCATTGTCACATCTTTTTCCTGTTATTTAAAGATTTAACCAAAAAGAAAAAAATAAGCCATATTTTGCTTAACCCATTCTGGTTATATGCATCTATATTTTAATCATGTCATGCTTTAGCTTCTTCCTCTTCAGGTAGAAAAACTTCAGCCATTAATATTTTCATTAAATAGATCTCTCCATCTGTTCCTTTTTTTTCTGGTTTAGATATTTTCATCATCCACACCAAAACTTAAGTAAGGCAAAAGGTAACTATAAAAGATTTTAACTATTAAAGAATTCATACACTTAAAGCTAGAAGAGTGCACTTTTCATATTAAAAACTATTAAAGAAGAAGGGAAAAAAACCAACACTTAAAATATTTTAGGCACTATTGTAGACATTTTGTAAATATTAGCTATCTTAATCCTCTTAAGTCTACTCTGCTATTATCCCCATTTTACTGATGAAGAAACAGGCATGGAAAGGTTATTTGACTAAAGTTACATACCTACTAAGTAGCAGAGCCAGGATTCAAACCTTGCTTTTAATCATTTCACTATGATTCTTACTACTACTTCAGGCTGCTTATATATAATTTCAGCTACTTAAGAGTTTTCAGCACAGTTGTATTATCTATTCTTCTACTTTGAGTTTGTTTGTTTTTTTGTAGTTTGATCTATGTCATATTAGAGAAAACTAGAGAAGTTTTAAAATGATAATTTTTAAAAATACACACAGGAAAAAAAATACACATGGAATCCCAACATCATTTTATTCCTGTTTTCTTAAGTACTTCTTGTGAAGTTGGGATTCCATGTGTATTTTTCTTGTGACGTACTTAAGAAAGAAAGAAGGAAGAAAGAAACTTGGACCATTGGTCAGAGAGATTGGGAAGAGCTGTTAGGAAGAGTTAGTTGCCAGGTTATTGGCCAGTCCTCAAGTCACAAAGTTGAGAAAGCTTTTGGGCCCTATCATTTAGCCAGCTGTGTGGTCTGCTTTGTTTATAGGATCATAAACTACTCTCTATTATATTTCATTTATTTTAAGAGATTTACATTCTTATTCCATGAAACAAGAAATTTTCATAGTTCAGTTATAAAATTTGATATGTGGAAACATTTTCAGTGACTCCTATTTTTATCTTTTAGGAACTAGACAAAATCGTGGCATATGAACTAAAAACTGGTGGAGTTTTACTACATCCCATATTTGGTGGAGGAAAAGAGAAGGACAAGTATGTTTATTGTTCAAAGATGATATAAACCTTGTTTCATGATGTAACTATTAGGACCATTTGTATGTATGTTGAGATTCACCAGGCCAAGGAGCAATATAATAATATAAAATAATGTTGAGGCCACAGACACTGGCAATATTCCCATTACTACTCTCAATGCTGTACTGTTTTTATCACCTGATAGATTTAAAAAAAAATTACTTAAAAAGTATAAGGTTTTCCATTTTTCTATGTTTATTTCCTAATCCAGTTATATCATACTTTTCTTAAAAAAGTTTTAAAATAATGGAAACAGGTATTTTGTTTATATGCCATTGATTGTGTGTGTGTGTTTGAGTAGATAAATTTCAGCATCATGATGTCTGTTTATACTTATTATTATTTTTTAAGATTTATTTATTTATGCATACAAGAGCTGGGGTACAGCAGTGGATTGTTTCAGAGTGTGGTGCTTAACCCTTTGCGCCACCAGGGAGGCCCTGCTTATACTTATTTACCCAAATAGTCACCTATCTAGATACTTCTTACTCTTTTTTTTCCTTCTTCCTTTTTATTTCCCTCTTTCTCCCTTACTCTTTTCTTATTTTTTAACAAGAGACTGTAGTTCATTTTCTTTGTAATCTTGTGTATTATACACATTTAAAGTAGTTTCTCAGATGGGGCCATTGATTGCCATTGTCTAAAATCATAACATATTAAGAGACTTGAGGTTGTATAACCTGTAATAACCTTTTCTTTGTTGTAGTATGGTCAGTGAGACAAGATTAATTCCCTGGAAAAGCAGAGCAATTTGGGATTAGGCAAACTTGGATTTTTATCATTACTGATTTTTGTGATTTAAGAAAATGGCAGAACCCTTGTGTGTGTGTTTGTGTGTGTGTGTGTTTGTGTGTGTGTGTGTTTGTTTTAATGTGTAAAATGACAACAATGATCCATTTTAACCAGATTGGTTATGAGGATTACTGGAGATAAAGCTTTCTACATAGTACACATGCAATAAATATTAATTCCTTTTACATTCTTCTCCTGACTGCCTACTGTACACCAGTTTCCCAACAAATAGACCATTCTCATTGTGTGTCAATATTATTAACACTAATTGTTTTTACCTTGCTTCTGCCTATTTATTTACTTCTTTGTATATGTTTAATCTTTAAAGTTTATGTATAAAAGCATCAAATGCTTTAAAAAAATTCAAAAGACCTTTGAGAAGTATGTGGAATAACAAATAAAAGATTCTTTTTAGCACTCACATGCCACCCCTTTCCTCTCCACCCTCCACCCTTCCTTAGAGATAACCATGATTATTAATTTGGTATATTGCATTCTAGTCCTCCTTTTTACTTTTATTTACATGTATATGGCATTTACAAAATGTAATTTAATCATATGCCTATTAGTGCTTTTCTGTTTTGAAAAATTTATCACATTTGTGTATTATGGTAGGCATTCCTTGTGCTATACATAAATTATTTTGTTCCATTTAAGAACTTTCTAGTAATATTTTATTTTATCTTGGAATTTATTTAACCTTTCCATATTGCAGTCTGTTATTAATAAACTTGAAAAAAATAAGTGAACTATAAAAGTAATTTTTCAAATACTGAGTTAACAAATAATATTTAATTTCAGTATAACATTTTTTTAAGGAGGTGTAATGACTGCTATTATACATTGATTTGGAGAGTATAATTTGGTATAGTACTTTCTTGGTACTAATCACAATTTTAAAACCTGTAATTTTCAGATTCAACAGTTCTGGAATATTATGATCTAGAAATTCTACTCCTAGACAGGCTTTCACTATACAAAAATCTTGCACATGTGTTAAGATAATATTCACTACAGCATTATTTGAAACAGTGAAAAATTATAAACATATGTTCATAGATACTGTAAATATTTTCTACTAGATTGTACCTTTTTCTTAATTTATCAAAAATTTCTTTCATTATTTTGGAGTTTCTGATTTTTATATAGTCAGTCTGGTCATGTCTTCCAAATTTCATACTTTTTCTTAGGCATATTTTTCCCACCGCAAAATCATGAAAATAAATTTTGTCCTTTATTTTCTTCCAGTACTTTTATAATTGCATTTGTTTTAGATGTGTAACCATCTTGAACTTTTTTTTATGTGTGTATGTGCAAGCATTAACTATATGATATTGATTGGAATTACTTTGTTTGTATTGATGAATTTGGAAAGAAATGAAATATTTACAGTATTGTGTATTCCTATATAGGAATGTAGCATGTACTTCCATTTATTCAAGTTTTTTCTTTATGTCCTCTCATAAAACATCATAATTTCTTTTAGATGTTTCCTAGTTTTTATTGTTCTCATATTAAGACAATTGCTATGATAGTCCCATGAGATTTTTGAGCTATTATCTTCAATTGGCTGTGAAATTTATTGCCTATTTAATACCAAAGTTTGTTTTATTGATTATTTTTTAGTCCAGCATCCCATCTACATTTTTCAATAAAGCATCCACATACGCTTTCCTGGGAATACTATACTATGTTTCAGTGTAAAGCTCACCTTGTGATGAGATTGATTGAAAATAGGATCAGTATGGAATTTATGCTACAGGTAAGTATTAAAGTTAAGAACAAGATCTGTTCTGTATGTGTATAATCTGTATACTGGTCTATAGTCAGGGCATCTGAGTTTAGAACTGGAGTTTAACTTTTTTTTCCCCCCCAAAGATTTATTTTATTTATTTATGTATACAAGAACCGAGGTGTAGGCCAGAGGTGCAGGGGGTGAGAGGATTCACCAGAGACAGAGTGAGGAGAAGAACAGGCAGATTTACTGAATACACTGCTGAGGGGAGCAGCAGGCAAGACATGAGTGGTCTGCTGTGCCATGTGGGTCAGCTCCCTGGCCAGGTATCTAACTCATGCCACAGTGGCTGGTTATAGCTTGATAGCACTGAGACTTTAACCCCTACACCACCAGGGAGGCCCTAATATGTACTTTTTGTTTGTGTATTCTCAAATGTAGAACGGACATCAATGCTTTACCCATTTAGTGCAATATTATAAAAAGAAAATTAGAATGTGAGGATGAATGCAAAGCCTGTTTATGCATATGATTTTGTGTTTGTCATTATTTAGAATATTAAGGATGAAGTATCATTTAAAATGTTTTCAATAAAAAGAAGCAAACCTAAGTGATGTTTGTGTTTGGTATTGCTAAATCCTGCCATATTTTTAGAGCAAGTGCTGGTGTGTATAGTTGAGATATAGTAATTGAGATGCTAGAAACCAGATGTATCATTAATGTGTAGTTTTATACATGTATTAAAAATGTTATTTTTTTCCCATAACATTTTAGAGGTCAGTGAAAAAATAACATTATTTAAAGCATTTCAAATTTGCACTAAAGTTATTTAATCCTTCTATCCTTCAATTCACCTTTAAAGTGAAGAACAGTAATTTTAAATGAGAGATGGTTCATAAACATCCAGTGAACTTTTTAGGGTAATATAAATCCTAATGAATGTTCTCAAATCTTAAATAAAAGTTAGTTTCTGTGTCAAGCTCATAGCACAATACATTATAGGTATTGTATATAATTTTTACTAAATACAGTAATCACGTTTACCTAGTGTATCAGTAAAATTCAATTATGTTTATAGGAAGAATGGTTTATATTCTGACTGTGCAAGTTTTGTCATGTTCTTAGTTTTCATAACCAGTACAATCTGAGCAGTAAGATATGAAATTATTGTCTTCTATAATTGACTATAATAAAGTTTTAATGAAAAGTGAGTATAGTGTAGCACTGACCCCAGGATGTATTGTTGTACAGCTAATTATCAATTTTGTCTTTACAGGTTTTCAATAAACTGCTAAGTTTGGCCAGTACTGCTTCATCTCAGAAGTTCCAGTCACATATGTGGAGTCAGATGTTAGTTTCCACATCTGGGTTTTTGAAATCCATTTCTAATGTTTCTGGCAAAGACATCCAGCCTTTAATAAAGCAGTGGGTGTATCCTTTTCAATAGTAGTTCAACAAGGCAGGGGAGGGAATAAGGTTATGTGTGTAAGGGGAAGGAAGAAGAGAGATTTGGGAATGAAAGGAGGTAAGAACTATATAAATTTTTAAATAATAGTAGAATAACCAGAAGCTGTAAATCATTTCTTCTGAGATGACTATTAATCATTAAGATATACCCATGCAGGGTGCCTTGGGGAAGGAGATTCTATGGGGACTAAATCTGAGGGGGTGAGGGGAAGCAAATATTGTCTTAAAAAATGTAAAAAATGATAAATGTTAAAATAAAAGTTAAAAAAAAAGATATACCCATGCACATTTGTAAAATTGGGTATATTTTGAAGTTCTTTTTAGTATGTAAGTAAAGCAGTAGTTTTAATGGTGAAAAGAGCAAATAATCCACAGGTAGACGTGTAGGGTTTCTTGTGAAGAGGCAGTGGTCTGGTGACTTGTGGATGTGGTTAGTGTTTGGTACAACTTGAGTGACCGTTTGGAGATGTTCAACTTGACCATTTTTTTCTTTCAAAAACGCCAGTATACTAATAACCTGGTGGACTGGTTTTGTGTCTTTGAAAACAGATTCTTAATGCTTCAGCTATTTTGTTTGAATGTGTGGAAAAACTTTTTATGAGAATTTTGAATACTTTGCCACCTGGTTTACAATGAAGTAAGCTCAAGCTTTGAACTGGTTGGGGTGCGGGGTGCATTTTAAAATTATTACTACCATAATGAATTATTTTGTTTAGTACATTTTCATCTCAGTGTGCAAAAATTCCTTTACAATTCTTCAGAGACCAGAGCGGAGTAGTAAAATTTTATGGAAGTTTTGCATTTAATAGAAAACGAAATGTTTTGGAATTGGAAATAAAGCAAGATTATACATCTCCTGGAACTCAGAAATACGTGGTAAGCTATTTTCCAAAATAGCCTTTTGTTCTGCTTTCTCCCCAATTTCAATGCAGAAAGGGCTTAAGGGTGGGGAGTGGACATTTTGTAGTGAGATTTGTTTGCAAAGAATGAAATTGAGAAAATACCAAGTGTTAATTGAGGGGAAAGGAGGAGGGGTGGGGATTTCAGAGTATACAGTCTCCCAAATTCTCCCTTTGGCGCTAACTGCCTTATCGTGACTCCAGAAACACATTTTGTACAGTATTTTATATCTTGATATTTGTACCTGTACACATGAAAATACATTTTGGTGTTTTTGTAGTACTCTCTTTGAACAGTATGATTTCTTTTTAAAGGGACCGCTTAAAGTGACAGTGCAGGAATTAGATGGATCCTTCAATCATACCTTGCAAATTGAAGAAAACAGCCTTAAGCATGATATACCCTGCCATTCCAAAAGCAGAAGGTAGGCATGATTCATGACTATGAAGTTCAGTTTATAGTTTATAGTTAAACTGTAAATCTTACAGATAAAAATACCAAAATAAAAATCTTATTGTATACTTAAATTCTTAGGTAGAGAACACACTAGCTTCCCCCCCCCCCACCCCTTTACTTAAGGTTAATGTTATCAAGCATTTTCTTTATTTGATATCTGTTCTTGATGACATTTTTCTCCCTAGAGTTAAATAATTAAATGTGAAATTTACATACCAGAATCCTTATTTTTTGGGGCAGAGGGTGGTGGAATGGAAGTTGAATTTTTGGAGCCAGGAAAAATTCAAGGCGAATTGTTTAGGTTCATTCTTACTGATATGGTTGGATTAATAACTACAGGAAATATCTGGGAAATTAGCATTGAATACAGGATGAGCTAAATACATATATCATGAAAAGCCACAGCATCTTTCTACTATGTGTCTTTCTCCCCTTTCTTTGTATCAGCATGCCCTTATATCTTGAAGTCTTTCAAAGACACACTGCCATTTTACTTTAAAAATGCTCAGTTCATCTTTTTTTAAATGAACTGAGTTCATCTTTACCATTCTTTTGTAACTCAGCCATTAGTGTGTACTATGAATTGTGTAAAGTTGTGAATTTTGTGAAAGATGAGAACATTTTTGTGATTTGCTAGTGGACTATGGTAATATCAATTTTGAAAGAAGAAGTCTAACACTCACATTATACTTACATCATCTCAGAGGAAAACAGTTGAGAACGTCAGTTGATTTTGACAGCCTTAGGAAATCTTGATTTCAGAAATCTCCCTATAGTCATTCTTTCTGAGAAATTTCTTTATTATTTGACAGTGAAATCTCCTTTTCTGTCCACCTTTGAAATTTAGAACATGTGATTGCTGCCCTTTTCATACCCTTTCTTTAGGTGTTGTCTCTATAATAATGGTATGTCATTTGGGTATTCTTTGGTGTAAGAAACACAGGAAGATTTTCTGTGTTTCTATTTTTATTCATTCTTACTCAACTTTTTTAATGTATTGTCTGGTAGGTTTTATGATTCAAAAGTAATTTGCTTGGAAATAGCTGCTTTTGTGTTGGCTTATATCTTCTGCATGTTAACTAGACATATTTAATCACCTCACTACACATAGGACAGCACCTTGTATATACAGCACTACAGCACACATGGTTCAGAATTCCTCACGTCTCCTTCAAGTATTGGTTATTTTTTCCTTTTTTTAAATAAGGATTTCTTTAGTGGGTTGTCCTCTTATTTTTTCTTTATAAAATAGTAGTTTCCTGTTCTTGGGGATACATACCTATTTTAGGTTGACATTTAATTATTTCTGCTTTTTTAAGCTTTGAGCAGTAAAACATTTCATTGTCATTTATTTCATTCCCTTCAACTTCAAAATAGACAAATTTTGTTAAGTTTAAATTCTATTACATTTATTGTCCCTTCTCCCATAGCACATCTTTCAGTGTTGCATTACATCTTTAATTTGAATTTTAACTGGTCCTTATTTTCTTTGATAATTAGAAATGTCACAATATTTTTTAAGAGTCATTATTTTTATTTATTTAGCATAAAAGAACTGGAGTGTAGGCCAGAGGTGTGGGGGGATGAGAGATTCACCAGAGGCAGAGTGAGGTGCAGAACAGGAAGATCTGCTGAACTACAGTGCTGAGGGGAGCAGTGGGCGAGACAGTATAGGTCTGCTTCACCTATACTGTGGGTCAGCTCCCTCCCTAACCGCGGACCAAACTCATGTTGCAGTGGCTGGCCTTAGTTTGGTAGTGCTGAGACTTAACCCCTTGCGCCATCAGGGAGGCCTGAAAATGTCACAATTTTTAAAAATAATTTTCCTTAAATGTAGGAATAAAAAGAAGAAAATTCCACTGATGAATGGAGAAGAAGTTGACATGGATCTTTCTGCCATGGAGTAAGTTAGTTACTTAAATTTAAGGATGTAGTTATATACTTACATCTGATATAATAGGCAGTATCAGAATGTATTCTCATTTGTCTTGTTAAGCATATCTGTAAGTATGTAATCATCCTGAAATTAGTGCTTTTAAAACATATGAGAGGCAGAAGCCTTAATTTATAAACAAATCTTATACAAATAATAATTAATCTCACAGAAGAGTAAATTTAACCTGACCCAGAAGAGATGAAGAGTAACCACAGAATGATTGTCGAAGGACACAGCTATGGCTCGGGCAGCTTTCAGCTCCTCTCATGGGCTCACCCAAGGGTGTGATCAAGCACTTGCCTAGTGGGTCCTTATACAATGTAGCCTTAATGGTCTCCCAGGTGTTATTCATTTTCTTTATCTTTGGATCAAGGCTCTAGGGCATTTTGTATTTGCAAAGCATAAATACCCTATTCTAAATTTTCTGTGGTAATTTTTATTGGTTGATAGTTTCATTATTATATAAAATACAGTTCAAACTTTCCCCCCCCATCCATCCTGTGCCTGTATATTTTTTATAAAACATCTATCCAGTGATTATTTGCTAACTTTATTACCAAATCATCACAACTGTTTAGATACCATTTATGTAATTTTAAATTGTGCTGTTTGGGCTTTATGTGAGGATAGGTTGGTGATGTGTTTACAAACTATGATTTCAGAACTTGCCATTTGAAAAAGTTGGTCATGAGTCCAGCATTTAAAAAAGGTGTGAAAGTATTAAGTCATTTAAGAAAATTAATTTAATAAAATTAATAAATTCATCTTTTAGTCGCAGATTGATTGCCAATAAAGGGTGGTATTTATAACCATAGTCAGTAATTAACTTATAGGAAGTGAAATGAAGAAATTTAGTCTTATTCCCCTTTTTTTTAATCACATAACCACATAATCACAAATCTGAAATCTTAATCAATATTTTGAATCAGAATATGTGACAGTTATCTTCTTGCCCTTGGAGATCTTTTCAGCAAAATTGATACGGATGAAAAGTGAAAATGTTAAAATGCACTGAACACAACAGGCAAGTTGACTGTCAGTGTGATTTAAGAAATGACTACATTCCTTAAAAATGTAATCATATTTAGAAAATGATTACAGTAGTACTCCAGGTAGTCTTGAGCACCACAGAAAGAAGAGATTCTGGTTAATAAATGCTTTGCTTTTATTTTTCAAATATGTCGAATTGAAAAAATAAATAAAAATAAACTTGTGTTTCCTTTTAGTGCTGATTCCCCTTTGCTGTGGATAAGGATAGACCCAGATATGTCGGTATTGAGGAAAGTAGAATTTGAGCAAGCCGATTTTATGTGGCAGTATCAGCTCCGGTATGAGAGGGATGTTGTGGCACAGCAGGAATCCATTTTGGCCTTGGAAAAGTTCCCTACACCGGCATCTCGGCTTGCACTCACTGACATATTAGAACAAGAGCAGTGTTTCTACCGAGTAAGAATGTCAGCTTGCTTCTGCCTTGCGAAGGTGAGATTGTGTGCTGCAGCAAGAAGTCAAGATGACTACTGCGTATTGAAAAGAAAAACTCTGAAAATGAATTGGAATTCATCATAGTATCCAACCTTACTTAGTAGCCAGTCCCTTGAAACCTTCTGCAAATGCTTTTAACAAAACTGATTTGAAAGAAATATGTATTGGCCTAAAATAGATATGCACTAAAATTGCATGATTGTCAAACTGAGAAGTCAGATTTTAAAACCAGAGAGAATTTTTTCACTATTTTATTGAATTGCTAAACATGTTTTTAAAACCAAGAATGTTTTTGGTAAGAAATTCCTTGGTACATTATAGTACATGAGATCAATTCATCGTAATTACCCCACTGTGGTGATTATCTCCTGTTGGTTTTATGCTTAGTAATCAGTACTAGTGATATGTAAAATGATAGGTTCTATAACATAACATGCTCAAAAAGTTAATTTATTAAGAAAACTAAATATTTTTCTTTAGATGCAAAAAAACTGAAGGTATAACAAATGAAAACCAGAAAAACGCAGACAAAAATTTGCCAGAAATACTGGTTTCCAGGTATTTAAAAAGCATCTTGATAATAGGTTCATTCCCATGTAGTGACTCTTGCCTTCCTCACTGCTAAATCCATTTGTCCAACCTGAATATCACCAGTTTATAATGCTTTAGATTTACTTGTTTTGTCTTAATGCTAGTTGAATTCATCCATTTTACTCAGGTTGTGAATAGAAATTCCCTCAAAAAGAAATTTCATTTCTTTTGTAGAACTCTGTGATTCTTGCATGCTAAATTCTTAGCAGATCCATAAAATTTTAAACTCTATAAACTGTTATGTGAAGTTAATTTTATTCTTTTCAGACTTTTTTTTATTTGCATTAGAAGTATCAATAGCTAGATAGGGTTTTTGGTAAGTGGTGGTACTGTATTTGACTTGTATTTCAATTAGCCTAGATTGAAAACCTTACTTAGAAAACATGACACAGTTTCTATGGGATAAATTTAAAATGTTAATATTTTATCTACTTAAATAGACAAAAGACAAACTTACTCAGAATAGAAGCTGTTTGCAAACATATTTCCTTAAAACATAAAAAGGACACTTTAATTTAGAAATTAACTTGTAGAAAATGACTGTAAATGCATGCAAGAATTTGGAGAGGTTGAGATTAAATATTTTCTTGGAAATGATAATGAAAGGCTAAAATATATTAAATTTCTGGGAAGTGAAATTGTTGAAGACTAATCCAATTATATTGGTGACTTTTACAAAGCTGTTTCATGTAATTAAAAATATGCAGTAGTGATGCAGAGTACTTCATTTTCTAATTATTTACAGATTGCAAATTCAATGGTGAGCACATGGACAGGACCACCAGCCATGAAGTCACTCTTCACTAGAATGTTTTGTTGTAAAACATGTCCAAACATTGTGAAAACAAACAACTTTATGAGCTTTCAAAGTTATTTTCTACAGAAGGTACAGTTTACTTTCAAATTTCTTATAATTGTTTTATCCCACAATCTGTATTTCCCAGTTTAACTTGGGGATTAGTCAAATAATTGTTTACTTTCTTATAAAAGTTTTTGCCCTTATTCTTTTCTGCTTCTAAACTTTCCCCAAAACTAGTGATTCATTATTGATTTTATGAGCTGTATGCAAATAACTCACTAGCTGCATTAATACTAAAATAAATAGAATAATTTAACATTTTGCTTAGTTACTAAAATGGAGATCTGGGTAAGTCCTTTTGGTGGCAGTCCTTCTGGGGTGTGGACAGCACATCTGAGTCAGAGATAGTACGGCTTACAGCTCTTGCTTCAATCTCAGCTCTGTTATTCACTAGCAGTTTGCACAATGGGACAGGTTTCTTCACCCTCTAAGCCTCAGTTTACTCAATTATAAAATTTGTCTTCTTTAGAATTAAGATCAAGTTTGTGAGGTGTTTCACACTATGTTTATCCCATAATATTTTGTAAATGGTAATTTAGAGAGCGGTGGTGTGATAGAGTTGTTTAAGGAAAGAATGTGGAAGGTGGTTAGCATGTGGGCAATTTCAAAATCATTTATAAATTTGTTGAGTAAATTAGTGATAATGAAAACAGATTAGATAAACTAAATTGGAGAAGGAGGAGGAGTGAAGTAGAGAAAACTAATAAGGCTTATTTCATGATTTTTGTATTGAAGGGTATGGGAAAGAATATGCTGAACAGGGTGGAGAAAAGGACATTTTGAGTTGTTTTGTATGGAGGGTGAAAAACGAGTCATGTTCAGCACAGAGAAAGGAATTGGAGAGGAGATACAAAATATTCAACTGAGGAAAAGAAAATACAGAAAAAGAAAGATGTAGCAAATTCTGAAGATAGTGGTGATAATATAATTGGAAAGGTTTACTTTAGAAAAGATAAGAACATTTCTTTTTTCTGAGACAGGTGAAAGCAATTGAAAGAAGTGGAATGATAGATTTGTCGGGGGTGTTAGGCAAGTTGAGATTTATTTACGGAAGAGGGATTAATGGTTGCTTCTCAACCACCATTGAGAAGCATCAGTGACTCAGGTTTCTATCTTCTTAGAAAAGTTGGGTATGAAGCTTTGGAAAAGGAAAGATAAGCTGGAATTTCAGAGAATTTACTGTTTTTCCTGGGCTAAGGAATGGTACTGGAGAATCTGTCTTTTCAGATTGACGGCTAACTCTGCTATCTGCTACATGCCATTGGCCACTCTGTCATTTAATCCTGAAAATGACTGAGGAAGTTAGGCTCCTGCTTAGTAAGCACCTAGGCACCTAGCCATAATCATCCAACTCACTAGTTAATGGAGGAGGACTTGAGTAAAGGTCTGCCTAATAAACATTAAAACTTACACCTTTACCATTATGTCACAAAACTGAAATTATATAATTCACATTATGCATACTTTGTTCTAGCACATGAAGACAAAGGCACAGAAGGCCCAGTGTGCATCCACATATTCAGCTCTCCTTCCTCCTGGTTTCCTACCCAAAATTACATTAGAACCTTTGAGGCATGTTTCCAGTGTGTGGGGGTGGGAATTAGGGAGTTAGACCCCAACAAGATACCAAAAGTAACCCTTTCTTCTATAAATACACCTGTGAATTTTAGTAGAGTTGATTATATGCTTACAAAAAAAATTTTTTTTTGGTAGACTATGCCAGTTGCAATGGCTTTATTGAGAGATGTTCACAACCTTTGTCCCAAAGAAGTTTTAACTTTTATATTAGACTTAATCAAGTACAATGACAACAGAAAAAATAAGGTAAGACACCTTTCTTCATATTGTAAAACTGACCAAAGATATTTGTTTTTTAAAGAGATATTTAGTCTGTGAAATCATTGTTAAATCCATGGTTTTTGAAATTCCTAGAGATAAAATGTGATTTGTTATCCTACCCAGTAGGTGAAAACCAAGATTAATTGGTTTAAATGTTTCTCTTACCAGTCATAATGTGCAGTTAGTGATGCATCAAATTTTGGGGAGCCAGCTAAAATCTGTTTTGATGAAATCTGACTAAAATCAAATTTCATTTCTCTTTTTTCAAGTGATACTCAGAAAGAGTTCCCTCTTGAAATAATGTTTGTTGATGAATTTGACTTTATTTTTTGAACCATGAAGTGTATTTATTTATTTAGCAAATAGCTATTGTGTGCTGTGCTTCAAAAGTTATTCACCTTATTTGTTATCAACCTAACAATCACATTTTTGAGAACACTACTCTAGGCAGTGTAACATATTAAACATAAGAGATGGTAGATGCCTTCAAGAATTGCATTTGTTCTTTAAACATCTGTTGAACAATTGCTATTTATCACAGTCTGATTCAGTCCCTCCACCTAATGGAGAAATCAGACAAATAAGTAAAGAGCCATTCAGAACTGCTGGAATAGAGGTATATATACATAATTTCCTTTGGAAACTTAGAGGAACTCAAGGGTACTTCCAAGGGTATAGAGAAAAGGGCATCAGGGAAATTTTGTTGCAGAAGAGATGGTGCTCAATGTGAGTTATAAAGATTTATAGGCTTTTTCCAGTCTGAGTAGACCTTCATTCCAGGAAGACCAACAAAAGGAACAGAAGAAACATCAGATACAAAGACCCATGTAACTGGTAGGACAAGTCAAATTAATGAAAAGTGGACTGAATATTTTAGCAATTAAAAAAAAAAGGTTTATTTTAAAAATGATTTATAATGAAATTCAGGAAGACAACTTTTCCTATTCAAAGTGATTTTAGCTAGAACGAATCCTTAAAAATTAGGGCTTTAAAAGAATACACTATATGTGGACATACTTTTCCATTTTTGAATATTGTTGACTTAATCTTTGGTAAAATTTATAATCAATGCTCTGTCTCAGCTAAGGTATATTAAGGACACAGGATTCCATGGTAACTTTTAGTTGCTTTTGTCATGTGTCAAACTTTTTTTAATGAAGAGCAAGGTTATCTAGGCAGACCTTTGAGACCTATATTTTTTTTCATTGTTTTCTTGCATGTGCATGATGAAGATGAGCAGAGGGCAAATTCTATATCTAAACCAAACATTAATAAAATTTAAAAAATACAATCTAAGCATGCTATTTAGAAATACAGAAGTTGAAGAATGATGCTGTTTTATCTGTAAGTTTGATAGGACAGCTGAGTTTTAAACCACAGTCATATTTCAATAAAAGTATGTTATGCTATTAAAAGGCATATCCTTGCTTATTCCTCGAACAATATTAATGGTTTGGGATTTCACCCCCTCTGGTTTTCTTTTCTTGCATATGCTATTTCCTTCAAGTTGCTTTTTCCCCTTTTTTCTGTTCTCTCTTATTTATCTTGCCACTGTCCTCAAATAATCTGGTGATCCTTGCTTGTATGTTGTGTAAGTGACAGAAGAGCGCTAAACAGCTGATTTGAAACTCTGTATTACCAGCAGAATTCATTGACCTTGGTGTTCCTTTTTGAACCTTCTGACTAGGTTATGAGAAGAGTGTCTTCCACATACAAAGTATTTGTTTATTAAACTAATGTATCACTAGTTAGTGAATCTCTTTTACTTTGTTTGCTAAGGTGTGACTCTGCACAAGGGCTGGAGTTGAATATTTACCAGAAAAGTTGCTTATGTTTTCAGATAAATTATGTTTTTAAATTACACTTATTTCATTAATTTTTGAATAAAACATTCATTTTTATGATCTTGTGATGATTTTTTTGGCTTAGTTTTCAGATAACTATTATCGTGCTGAAATGATTGATGCCCTTGCCAACTCTGTTACGCCTGCAGTCAGTGTGAATAATGAAGTTCGAACTTTGGATAACTTAAATCCAGATGTGCGACTCATTCTTGAAGAAATTACCAGGTTTTTGAATATGGAAAAACTTCTTCCAAGTTACAGACATACCATCACTGTCAGGTATGATTTTATTTGTTTCTTGTTTCTATAATTATAAAAGAATTTTATTCTTATTATAGAAAAGTGGGAACTATGATAAAGAGAAACAATTAAAATTCTATACAATTCTACAATAATTATTACTATCTTAGAGAATGAACTATGTTTTATCCCCTTGTAACTATATACATTTTTAATTACTTGACATGTATACATTTTTTTGTCTTGGTTAAATCAAACATGTCATGTTATCAAAAATTCTTCATAAGCATTTTTTTATATCTGGATAATCTTATCCCCTGTTGAATTTAGTATAAACATCCTTCTATTAGTAGGCCTCTTTTAAGATGATTTTTGGCTTCTATCAGCTTGTTTGTATATGATTACCAAAAAGTTCTACCTGTTTCACTGTAAAAAGTTGATTCATTGATTCATGTACAGTTATACTTTTCATATATATTAACGACTAAATATTATTAAAATATTTTTGACTATTGCTAAAACTTTTAGATATTATGCTAAATACATTTTTCTAAAGTTTGTTTCTGTTATGGTACCTAAAAATGAATTTCCAAAAAAGTTTTAAAATTTGATTTTTAAAATAGGTTTTCAATGCCTTTAGTTGTTAAGGTCATTGCAATCATTTAATACGATAAAATTAAAAGGTAGATTCAAATCACATCAGTTTCTCAATTATTATTTCTAATGCCTGGGAAATAAGTTTGATTCAGTATATTTTTAAAAAGTATTTCAATACTTTTTTCCAGTTGTTTGAGGGCCATACGAGTACTTCAGAAGAATGGACATGTGCCAAGTGATCCAGCTCTTTTTAAATCTTATGCTGAATATGGCCACTTTGTGGATATTAGGATAGCAGCTTTGGAAGCAGTTGTTGATTATACTAAAGGTAATGCTTTGAAATAGATGCTCATTATCATTTTAGAAAGAAATGTTTACTATTTAAAATCAGTCTTAGAGGCCTCCCTGGTGGCCTACGGGTTAAATCTCAGTGCTACCACTGTGAAGGCTCACTACAAGGGCCTGAGTTCAATCCCCAGCCAGGGAGCTAACCCACATGGCGCAGCAGACCTTTCCTGTTTCACTCACTGCTCCCCTTAGTAGTAAATCTGCCTGTTCTGCTCCCCACTCTGTCTTTGGTGAATCCTCTTATCCCTCCGGCCTCTGCCACCTCTGGCCTACACCCCAGTTCTTCTATGCAAAAAAATAATAAAATCTTTTTGAATAAATAAAGCCAGTCTTAGTTTGGTACAATACAAATATCTTAATTTTATATTCTTGACACTGATTTAGCAAGTGTTTTTGGTAAATGTAAAATTTATGTAAAAATAAATGAGAGAAAAGAATAAAATTATAGTGTCAACCACTTGGGCAAAAACAGTTTATCATGCTGTTTAGTATAAGTGAGATACCATTGGGGTATCATATCTCTCTACTCTTTGATTTGAGTATTTAGAAACACTGTTTTATTTGAACATATTTTGCCCATTTAGAGTTATCATTTCTAATTTAGGGCTCTTAATTATAATTTGCTTTATGTTGTATTTGCCATTGATTTGCTTGAAATCAAATCAGGTGAAAAATATACACTTGCTCATGTTTATAGCATAGCACTTCTAAAAATTGGAGAGTGGTTTATTGCATAAAAAAATGTAAGAGATTGCCAACAGCCTTCAATACCGATTGGAAATCCGGCTAAGGCCGAGTCCTGAAATACTGAATGTAAACTCTTTGCTTATCATTATAATTAACAATAAATATATATTTTTTTCCCAGTGGATAGGAGTTATGAAGAACTACAGTGGCTGCTTAATATGATTCAGAATGACCCTGTGCCCTATGTAAGGTTAGTTGTTCTGCTATAATATTTTGTTTTTTGTAACTTCTAAATTGAATAATTTCAGAAGATTATACATGGAGCATTCCTTTTTCATTATTTTTAAAATACAGGAAATTGTTTTCTATTCATATTCTTTTTTATTATAGCCTTTGGAAAGACACTTTTAAGAATATATTGTTAATAAGCAAAGCTTATTCCCTGTAATTTTAAGTATGATTTCAACTGTAACTTAAAGAAAAGCTTATGTAATCATCTATAGTGCATGTAGAATATCACTTGTACATCCAAAACTTTAAAATCTCTATTGGTTGATTCAGTCAATTTTAAAGGTAATTAAAGAGCAAGGTTTTGGAGTATCCCATCTGTCCTATCTCAGATAAAGTCTCAAAATTATTAAATGGACTGGGGATTAAAAAGTGTCTTAGAATATTTTTTACAACTTTGAAAACAAGGGAAAGTAAAGGAAATCTCAGTCCTGACATAGTATTGTAGCTATTTTCAGTTTTGTAGCTTCCACTAATCTTCATTTCCTTCATTTCTGTTGTCTTTTTGCAAAATAGAATATTTATGTGTATGTGAAAAGGATTAAATTCATTTTCTGTAGGCACTTGATTTTTTAATTCATTTTTTTTACTATAATGATTTCACAAAATGGAATTTGAAAGCTGGAAAGTAACTTAAATTATAGTTATTTTAACTAGAAACAAGGGTATAGACACAGAGATTTTAATAGCTCCTTAATGGAGTGGAGATATTATCTTTGGACAACAGTATATTTTAGGCTGCCTGCAGCAATGAGTTCTTGGTTAAGTCAGCTTATATTTCAGTGTTTTACATGATGCTTTTTATATAAATATTCTTTGTACAATTTTTGCTGTTAACTTTTGATAGTTCTTGATATGTGCTCTAATTTGTATTATAAATATTTGTCCTTATGTAATTACTGTATTCTAAGCTAAGTACACATTCATATAAAAGAGGATAGGCAGAAAACCAACCTCATCTCTTTAACTGACATATTTGAAGTTTTATAAAAAGATCCTACTGGAACAAAAGGTATCAATACACTGTAAATAAAGTTAATCATGTATACATTTATCTTCTCAATCACATCAACAGAATTAGCATTAAGATGCTTAATTCTGAGATCTTGAAATTGTGTTTTGAAGAACATCTTTAGCAGATTGTAAATATTATGCAATATTTTCAAGTTGTATTTCAAACTTACAAACTATAGACTCTAAATGGTTCCTGTACAAGAACTGGGGTACAGGCCAGAGGTGTGGGAGGGTGAGAGGATTCACCAGAGACAGAGTGGGGAACAGAACAGGCAGATTGACCAAAGTACACTGCTGAGGGGAGCAGCGAGCGAGTCAGGAGAGGTCTGCTGTGCCATGTGGGTTGCTCCCTGGCTGGGGACCGAACCTGTGCTGCAGTGGCTGCATACAGCTTCATAGGTTGCATCTTAACCCCTGCACCACCAGGGAGGCCCCCTTAGAAGATTTTTAATGGCAATGAATGGTAACAGAAGTGTTACTACACAGCAGTGATTATATATGCTTTTTTTTGTTGTCTTGAGACATCTGTCTTCAGTTTTGTATTTTTTTTCTGGGTGTTTTTTTTTTTTTTTTTTTTTAACTTGGAACTCTGGCCTTTTTTCTTGGAGTCTCCATCATTACTTCTTCATTTTATTTTTATGGCCCCTGATTGATTTTAAATTTCCTAATGATAAAAATGGCCTTAATAGGCATTACATTTTCTAAAATACATTACCTTTCTATTTCTCTCAGCTTTAGAGTTATTGATTGTGGTTGAGTTAAATAGTGCCCTGAAGAATTATAGGATGAAAACTTGAAGTTTGGAGAGGGAAACATTAATTACTAATAATTACTTCTTTGTGCTATCAATTTAGAGCTCAACTTGAACATGACTTATACAAAGAGGCTACCTTGACTTCTTGTACTAGACCAGGTCCCTCAAGTCATAGTTGCTATTAAAATCCTACGCTTTTGCATATACCAAATACACAAATACTTTCTGGCCTGTTAATAAGTATTGATTTTATGGTTTGATTGTCTTGGTCTCCAAAAGATAAGGACCATATTTCCTTGTGCACATACATGTTGACCAGATGGTTGTATATTACAATTTTTTTTTCTTTTTCCTCTCTGTATATGTTTAATTCATGTGAAAGAAAAGTGATTTTAGCTCTATTGATAGTTATATGTAGAAAAAACTTTTTAAACAAATATTTCTAAATGCTTGGAAAGTTTTCAGTCATTTATATTGTTTGACATTTCCAATGTAGTGATAAGACTGTCTGCTTTCCTTGAACAGGAGATTTTCAGATTGCAAATCAGTTATTTAAGATATCTTAAGAATTTAAGCAAAATAGGGCCTCCCCCGTGGTGCAGAGGTTGAGCGCTGGGTTGCGAAGCTGCCTGCAGCCTCCGCGGCGCGGGTTCGATCCCCGGCTGCTCCCCGGCCACCTGAGGAGGGTCCCACATGGCGTGCAGACCTCTCCTGCCGCCCGCTGCTCCCCTCAGCAGTGTACTTCGGTCCTTCTGCCTGCTCTGCTCCCTGCTCTGGCTCTGGTGAATTCCCTCACCCTCCCGTGCTTCTGACTGTATCCAGTGCATGTATAAACAAAGCAAACAAACAAACAAACAAATAAATAAAAAACAACATTCCTCTATTAAAAAAAAAAAGAATTTAAGCAAAATAAATGCTCTTCAGTTAATCTATGTATCAGCCTGACAGATTACCATGAAATTTGCCTTAATTTTTACATGTAGTATATAGAATATTCTATATGCGTCATTCTAAGTACATATTAAATCTAGGAGCGTTATTCTTACATTAAAAATGAAGTTTACATTTTGAACATTAAGAGTTCCCTTTCAATGGAAATGATTTAAATATACTCAGTGAATTTTTGGAATATTTGAAAAAATATAAAATTACATTAAGACTATTTTAAGTGGTATATTTTAATTGGAAACAACAATCCTTAACATTCATAGAAAAGGAAACAACATGTATATGGTCATGATAAGTTCTTCACGGGACAAACTTACATCTGATGCTTTTTCTTTGAGAGAGTGACTCCATTTCGTATAGCTAGTGATTGGCAAAGTAAGTACACTAGTCCACCAAGAAAATTCTCAATTATTTAGGGAAGTAATAAGATGTTTTTGCTGCCGTGAACATGATAAAAAAACAACAACGAAACAGTGAGTTTCTCAAGATGTGCTTCAGGTCTGTTCCAGATGTCTGAAACATATGCTTATTATTAATTTTGATGTTTCATCTCTGAAAAATTAAACATAAGATACTCGTCTTCCTTTAAACATTATCTCCTTTGAGTATTGTTTTGAATGCTTAGTCATTTATATTTCCTTGTAAAAAGCCTTTCTTCTATGCTCTAAACTTTAAAGAAAAGAAAAGCTTTCAGAGAAATGTTTTATTTGCTAAATGTGACACATGTACTAATCAATTTTACTCTTTTAGTGATCATTTCAAAGCTATCCCCAGAGCACCCTGTACAATTCATTGGCATGACTGTAAAGGGTTTGTAATGAGCTGAGTAAATATCATAAAGTTTTATTAGTTAGGCTCTACCACTTCAATATTAGGGAAGTTGGGAAAACAGCCAGATACAAATTTTTCTTCGTCATGTAAATTAAAATTAAAACAATATTCACATACTCTAAAGAGCAAACTCATCTGCATTTTAAAAGATGTTATTTACCTGTAATATTGATCTACTATTATGAATAATGAGTTCCCTTAAGGGCTAAAATTGTGTTTATCCCTAAAAATAGTATGTCTGTCATGTTACCTATCTATAAATTGCATCTGCAACCACATTTCACTTTTTGTTCTTAAACTTTTTAGTAGTCTTCCATATAGTCTTAAAATTTCAAAGCCCACAAGGATATTGACAATGAGAATACACATCTTTCAGTTTTATAGAATTGAAATTGAAGCCAAAAGAGGTTAAATCGCTCACCCACCCCTAAGTTACAAATTAAGTTTCTTTCTTCCTTGGTTACATTCAAGCATTCCACTACTCTGAGGTCTCAAATTTCTCACACCTAGTCAGACTTTGTTTTTATCCCTTTACTACTACTATCCTTTTTCTGTTCTTTTCTTATGATGTCTCCTACTCATAGCATTGGTGGTTGGTGTTTTGTTTTGTTTCCAAATTTTCTTTTGATCTAATTGCTCTGTTTTGCAGAATATTCATTAAGTGTTCAGATTGACTGTCACATGAGATAAAAAATTTCTGATGGCAGAGTTTAACTGTTACCCTATTGACTTTTCTCACTTCTGCTTACTTTGAAGAGACCTCTTTGCAATCTCCATATTTAAAATGCTTCTTTTAATTTCCATTCTTTACAAAGATACTACACTATTCATTTTGTCTCAAAAGTGGACTTCTTTTGGCCTTTATGTGCTTTCTGTTTTGCTCCATTTTAAGAACTTTTTATTAACTGACCAATCATTGTACATTTTTCTAAGGAGGAGTAGAATATTTTACAAGTAGAATGGAAAAGGTGGATTAAGAATCATAGAGTCAGGTTTTGGAAGCCTTCTTTGTATACCAAGGCAATTTTAGAAAGAACAAACCCACCAGGAATTTTAGAGAAAAAACATTTACTATTCAGGATGTACTATACCATCTTGTCTTTTCAAATAAAACTGAAACGCAAAGCTAGACCTGTGAAAGGAGATTTTGATAAAATAGCAACAAGGAGCTACAGATTATGAAAATGTTTAGATGTTTTTATTTACTATCAAAAATTTAATTTTTTAATCTTTCAGACATAAGATTCTAAATATGTTGACTAAGAACCCACCATTTACCAAGAATATGGAGTCTCCTCTGTGCAATGAAGCCCTCGTAGATCAACTTTGGAAACTTATGAATTCTGGTAAGATAGCAGTGGCTTTAAAAATTTTTTTTTTTTTTTGGTTGGAGTATTTTTTACTTTATAGCAGGTTTTTTTTTATATTTAGAGAATTGAGGTTAATTTTTCGATTTTTTTAAAGTAATATGTTTATGATAGCCATTTTGGCAGTGGTAAGTATCATAACATTGGAAGGTATACTCACTTTGCCCCACAAGGCAGTTGAGGATACAAAAATTACAAATTATATGTGTTTACAGAGCTATAAATATGAACCTTTGAGATATTTTTGTTTTTAAAGGTTACAGAGGGTTAACAAATTAGTCTTCTCACCCTTTCCCTAGTTGCTTAGTAGAGTTTCCAGAGGCAGCTAGCTTTTGTGTGTCCTTTCAGGAGTGGTACATGCCATTGTTGCTCACCTTGAAGATCACGGAGTCTCATCACTGTTGTAATTTCCAGCATTGAATGACGTCAAGAGGCAGGATAACTCAGTGCCTTAGAGCACTAGCTTTGGAACCAATTTGCTAAGAGTGAAATCTCAGTTCAATTTTCACCATCTCTATGACTTATTTAAGTCTTTGATTTTTCATTTAAAAATTGGAGGTGTGGGCCTCCCCGGTGGCGCAGCGGTTGAGCGCTGGGTTGCGAAGCTGCCCGCAGCCTCTGCAGCACCGGTTCGATCCCCGGCTGCTCCCCGGCCACCGGAGGAGGGTCCCACATGGCGCGCAGACCTCTCCTGCCGCCCGCTGCTCCCCTCAGCAGTGTACTTCGGTCCTTCTGCCTGCTCTGCTCCCTGCTCTGGCTCTGGTGAATTCTCTCACCCTCCTGTGCTTCTGACTGTACCCAGTGCTTGTATAAATAAATAAATAAATAAATAAATAAATAAATAAATAAATAAATAAATAAATAAATAAATAAATAAATAAATAAATAAATAAAAAAATAAATCTTTAAAAAAAAAAAATAAAAATAAAAATTGGAGGTGAAAGTGACACCAACTTCAGCAAACTGCAAATTAAATGAGTTAAATTTTAAAGCAGTGTCTGGTTCATATTAAGTGCTCAAAAATATTCTTATATTAACAGTAAAGATATTGTTTCTCATATATTTGTACTGTTTATAATTCCATTTTTGTACATAGTAATATTTGCTATTTTTTAAATTGAAACATTGGTCTTTTCCAAATTGACTTATAAATGTGTATACTTAAAGATCACAGTGCAATACTACCAAGTAGAGGCACCCTAGTTGCTATTTCATTGAAATTTAATAAGATTGAAAATATTATGACCTTTTCTCAGAAAAAAAAAATCAAAAAATTAAAAAGTGCCATTTTTCAAAACAAAAAAATTAAGACCTTTATTCTCATTGTATCAAAAACAACACATAAACCAGTTTATAAGTATATTGTCAAATTATTTTTCTAATGTTTTCCTTAATTAGTAGAAGAATGATTGCTGCTCTTTGCACAAGACTTTTTTTTTTTTTCTCCTGTGGTTACCTTAAAGGATGTTATGGCTGTTATTTAGATCTAGGAAATGAACACACAAATCCAGGAACTTATAAATGGTCATTCAACAATTAATCAGTGGTGTGAACTCTACTTTGTTGACTATATTCTCAACAAGAATGCTTGATTTAATGAATGTGATGGAACACACTTTGAGGAAAACATAATGAAATACAAAGAATTCTCTCATTACAGTCTATGGAAGATTTCTTAGACAAAATAAGTGTGTTTAAGATTAATGGGACAATTTCTGTTTCTATAAAAACATTTGAAATCCATTGTAAAGTTGTAATTGTACAAGTGAAAGCTGTGATTTATGTTTATTATTTAATTCTGATTGTGTTTAGTATGAAGTTGCTGCTTTGGTTTGGAATTCTCTGTGCCAGTAATCTAAACAAAGGAGATCAGTGAGGCCATAGTCATAAACAGTTTATTACTCAGCTCTTTAAATTTTTAAATAAATGGAGCAATATGAACAGTGGGAGCAGCATGAATAATTAGGAAGGCTGTTTTGTTTTGTTCTTTTAATGTTTTTGGAGAACATTGGACATTAGACATGGAAAGTTATCTAAGGGATTGTTCATTTCCCTTCCAAGCCTGAAACCCAGGGATACATGAGTGAATCTGATCTAATAAGTCCATTTCCTTTTTAATTTATAAAGGGTTTCTTTTTTATATATGTAAAATTAATATAATTATAGGGGGTATCTGCATAAAAATAACAAAAAGGGAGATATTTACATAATTCCATTATACCACCACTATTAAGATTTGGGTATATTTGGCCTTTAAGGAAATAAAAATGTGCATGTGTGATCTGTCTTTGTGGTTGTCATGAAGGTCTTAAAATAGCATTTGATCATTATTTGATCAAAAATATTTCCATTACTGGGCCTCCCTGATGGCGCAAGGGGTTAAGCGCCACTCTATGAAGCAATCCGCAGCGTCTGCAGCACAAGTTTGATCCCCGGCCAGCCAGGGAGCAACCCACATGGCACAGCAGACCTCTCCTGACTCACCCACTGCTCCCCTCAGCAGTGTTCTTCGTTAATCTGCCTGTTCTATTGCCCACTTTGTCTCTTGTGAATCCTATCATTCCCCCCTGCATCTCTGGCCTGTACTCCAGCTATTGTATGCATGAATAAATAAATCTTTAAAAAAAAAAAAGAATACTTTCACAATAGTTTACTTTTTTATGTTGACACAAATAACATTAAAAAAAAACAAAATTAGAAAAAAATTTCCATTACTATATTATCGTCTTACTATAGTTATTGTTTTAAGAAATAGTAATGAAAACTCACCAGTAAAAAACGTTATGAGTTTACACGTCATTGTTTCTGCTGAACTCTGCCTACTTCTCAGTCCCTGTTGGGGCTTTTGGATTATCTGGTCAATTTGATTTACATATGAAGAACAAATTAACTTTGACCAATGTGGATTTATCTACATGTGGTCTGTCTTATTCCAAGTGGATTTGAGATAATTATAAAATTTGTTGAACTCATTTAAAATATATTCGGGAGGGTGTCACTGCAGTTAAGAAAACATCATCTTCTGAGATATGATCAGGTACATTTGATGAATCAAAACTTGTTTGCTTGCCTGGTTTTAGAAACTTTTCAGTAAGAGAATAATTGTGGTAGGATGCATAGGAACAGAATTTAAAAAACAAATCAGGGTCTCCCTGGTGGCACAAGAGGTTAAGTCACAGCACTTTGGAGCTATCTGCAGCCACTGCAACACAAGTTCAATCCCCAGCTAGCCACGGAGCTACCCACATGGCGCAGTAGACCTCTCCTGTCTGAACCCCTGCTCCCCTTAGCAGTGTATTTCAGTAGATCTGCCTGTTCTGCTCCCCACTTTGTCTCTGGTGAATCCTCTCACCCCTTGCACCTCTAGCCTGCACCCCAGCTCTTGTATGCATAAATAAACAAATCTTTAAAAAAAATAAAAAATTAGTTTGACAGTAAGGTGAATTAAGTAATTATATTCAGGTTTTTAAACATTCATATACCATTCAATAAATAGTAATAATAATATTTTTATAGCATACTAGGGGAATTTGGAGTTGAGGTACAGAAAGTAGGGGCTATTGGTAACTGAATCATTTTCATGGCCATGTGGCAGAAGGAAGGTTCCCCGACTTTTACTTTTGAGCCTCCAGCATTGCTTGGTCTTTGCATGGTATGTTGTAGTTCACTAAGCTAAGTTCCGGATGCTACTGCAGTATCTTTACAAAGTTTTTAAGGAAATACACACACACACACACCCCTGTACACAGATGTCTTACCCATTCTTTAGTTTAATTCCCCATGTAACTTTTTCCTTCCTAACCAATTTTGTTTTTAAAATTTTCCAAAGTTAGACAAATTTAATGAATTGCAATTGAATGCATGTATTTTTGGTTCAGTTCTTGCATTAAAGTGATAGCAGTGGGAGGTGTAGCTAAAAGATTAAATAAAGATGGGTCTTTAAAATGCTGAAGGCAGAATTTTTTCTTTTTTCGGTGGGACCCTCGCTGGTGGCCGGGGAACGAACCGGTGCTGCAGAGGCTGCGGGCAGCCTCTCAGGCCAGTGCTCAACCGCTGCGCCACCAGGGGAGGCCCTAGGAGGCAGAATTTAGGAGATGTCTAAGGGTCTGTACTAGAACTGATGGATTTATAATCACATAATTATAGATTAAAGGAGCTGTTAAAGATCATTTTAGTTAATTGTTTTCATTTTAGGGCCCAAGCAGCTGACTTGCCAAGATCACAAAACTAAATAAGCACAAGTGTTTTTTTTTTTTATTCAACTTAATTCAACTATAATAATGTGACAACTGTTACAAGAGTTTTATTCCAGGATCTTGAACTGTAAAGGAGTTCTGATTTTCTGTTTTGTTTAAGAAACTCAATTATTCATTCATTCATTTTCTACATGGAAATAGAATTAACATAAACCATGTTCTAGAGGTTCAATACATTTAGCAGCTTTCATTGTTCTGCCTAATCACCCCTAGGCTTTCAGAAAACAACACTCTAGCTCATCAGAGTAGACTTGCTTGTAAAGTTTTTTAAACTTTGAGGGAATTCATGCATAATTGCCAGTTTTGTTTTGATGTCATTTATAACATATAAAGGTTCAGGGTAGTTTCTTGCAGCAGACATAATTAGGTGATACTGATCTTCAGAGTTTATTCTTCCAGTGTAAAGGTACCTAAACCTCTCTAGTTTTCTTCCTGATGGAATTGAATAACCTGCCCTTTGCACAACCGTTACATATGTAAGATGTTTTGAAGGAGGAGAATAATGAGTACTTTCAAAAATTTACACTATATCAGGCCATTAAAATGTCCAGATATACTTATTCCAGAGGAGGAAATGAATTTCTATTGTAAAATCCTTACTTTCATTCTGTGCTGTTCTTCCCATTTCTAGTTTCTCTATAATTTTTATGACATAAAAATTTCATCCTCCTTAAATGTTCCTGCCCCTTTCTCTTGCTTCTGTAGTGGTATGTGTCTGTTACCTTACCACACAGTAGCAAAATTGAAAATACCTTAAATAAGATTGATGACAGTTGTTTTACAGCAATGCAAAAAAATAGCCTAGCACACCGTAGTATATAGCATGAACTCTGTAAAATTATAATTTCTCCTATTATGGATTTTCTTTATATATAATGAATACAATATTCACTTATATTTTACAATAAACTTTAGCAAAGCCCCCACTTGATTATAATTTATTTACTTTAATATTTGCTGCTGAAAACCACCAAGCTTGATATTTATGTTGTCCAAATTTGCTGTAGCAACTTTTTTCCTTTTTGTCTCTCCTTTTTAAACATTATAGTATGCTTTTAAAACCAGAGGAATTCCCATAGTCCTTATTTTCACTTGTTTTTAATTCCCTAGTTCTTTTTAAATTCTGCCTAGAAACCACAGAGATTAATCCTACATTGCAGATTTCACCTGGTCAGTTTTATTTCATGGCAGTATCTCTCTGGAGTCCTCAAGTAAGGACAGAGTGGAAAGTAAGAAAGAAGTCTGGCCTGTCATTGTTACTAGGTTAGGAGTAATCAGAGACTAGATAGTTTTTAGAGATGAAAAATATGAAACTCATAAAAAAAATGGAAAGAATTTACCTCCAATCTTTAATAACTACTTTTAAACTTTTCTAGAGAGTCATCTTTAGGTCTGTTGCCATCTCTGGCAACAACAAATACCTAGGAGAAGAGTGCAAGTAGAAAGGTGTTTCAGGGCCTCCCTGGTGGCGCAGGTGGTTAAGCACAGTGCTGTGAAGCTGTCCGCAGCTTCTGCAGCGTGGGTTCGATTCCCAGCTGGCCAGGGAGAAACCCACATGGCGCAGCTGACCTCTCCTGTTTCTCCTGGTGCTCGCCTCAGCAGTGTATTTCATCAGTCTGCCTGTTCTGATCCCCACTCTGTCTTTGGTGAATCTTCTCACCCTCCCGTGCATCTGGGCTGTACCCCGGCTCTTATATAAATAAAATAAATCTTTAAAAAAAAAAAAAGAGGGCCTCCCCTGGTGGCGCAGTGGTTGAGTGCTGTGCTGCGAAGCTGCCCGCAGCCTCTGCAGCTCCGGTTCGTTCCCCGGCCACCAACGAGGGTCCCACATGTCACGACAGACTTCTCCTGCCGTGCCCGCTGCTCCCCTTAGCAATGTATTTCGTCGATCTGCCTGTTCTGTTCCCCGCTTTGGCTCTGGTGAATTCTCTCACCCTCCCACGCTTCTGACTGTACCCAGTGCTTGTATAAATAAATAAATAAACAAACAAATAAATAAATAAATCTTTAAAAAAAAAAAAGGTGTTTCACAAAATATTTTCCTGTATAATAAGTTAATTTAGAATTATGTTATTTCAAGTAGTGTAGGCTTTCTTAACCATATTTAAAACCTGAAAGTAATAAATTCAAGTTAGGAGAATATGTTTCAAGTGGTTGGCTTTGTGAGGCTCATGGAGTGCTGTCATCCCAATGGACTATTGAAGAAGGAAGTCAGGCAAGATGAATAGAGAATGGATGGATGTGGAGTAGTTACCAAGGAGGAGGAATTAAAAGGGTGATTTAAAGCCAGGAAAAAAGTACTATTTTTGGAATATTAGATTTTTAGTGGATACCTAATACTTTGTAAGAAGAATGGTGTGATAGTAATAAATGTTATTCACTAACATGAGTGAATAACATTTATTATTTCTGCAACAATTTATAAGCATCTGTATTAAGATAACAATCATATTTAGAATTTAGAGTTCTCCTTTAGGTATCCTAATCCTTTCACGCCTTCACACTTTACAGGTTCTAGAATAGCTTGAAATGTATGAATAAATGTACATATTGACTTTAACTTCTTTATTACTTACTTTTTAGGTACTTCACATGATTGGAGGTTACGGTGTGGTGCTGTGGACTTGTACTTCACACTTTTTGGCCTCAGTAGACCTTCCTGCTTACCCTTGCCAGAACTTGGTTTAGTTCTTAACCTAAAGGAGAAAAAAGCTGTCTTGAACCCTACTATAATTCCAGAGGTCATAGCAGGCAATCAAGAAGCTGCGATTAATCCAAGCAGTCACGCACAGCTAGTTGGATTTCAAAACCCTGTAAGAATCACATGTATTACAGAAGATGCAGTTTTGTTATAAAGCATCATGTTGAGAAGACAATTGTTTCCTTGGAATTGGAAGATTTTAAAGCCACTGTCACGTACTATCTTAAAAGCTGCTGGCTGACATTTATTTAGCCCTTTATATAAAGTACTTATCACTTCACATAACTATACATAACAAATAATGTGCTGCCAGTCCATATACTCCCTTCTGTGATTTTTTTTGTACTTGAGCATAGAATTTCTTCGTGGAGTAGTAGAAAATTTAAATGAATATTTAACTTATTACATATTAACTTGTCCATGTATGTTAATGGTAAACTGGACACAGGGACTCTGCCCTCCCCCACCACCAACTCTGTATACTTAGCACTAGTGCAATTCTAAACATATAAATGCCTGGCAAATGCTTATTGAATTCAATCAGTCAGTATCAAGCCAGGTAAATGAGATTTGGGAGGAGATTATGCATTAAATATTAAAAATTTATATATGCGTATATGTGTTTGGCTTCATGAAAGCCAATATATTTCAGCTATGTATTATAAAATTACCAGATTTTTTAATAGAAAAACCTGTAAGATACATATTAATTATTTTATAATAATTTAAAGAAGGTTTTCTAGAAATTTCTTTCTGATGACAAAATGTCCCCAATACCTCAAGCTTCATTTTTCACCAATATTTAGACCAGATTACTTGCCTGGCAATTCCCTACTGGTGTTTTAACACTCTTAAAAATCTGATTCTCTCTATAGTAGTTAGTAATAGTCATCTACAGATTTTAAAAAATACAGCAATACTCATTTGTTGTAAATTTAAAATGTATCCTTGAGTTTAGATTATGAAGAAGGAAATTTCCATAGGAAAGAGAGTTTCTTTAAAGAACTCTTTGAGATCCAAATATTTATAAATATGTGGAAATGGCTGTTTATAATTCTTGCTCATATATGTTAATTCCAAATTTATACTAGAAATCTTCAGAATAAGAAGAAAAAATGACCCCAAAAGACATACTCTTTTGGGTAAGCTCTGAAAGTTTACTTAAATGCTTCCTCCCTCCAAAAAGACCAGCAGACAGGTAAAGGTGAAATTTATTTTAAGCCCTTTGCTGATAACATTTAAGCACTGGGCATGTTGTAATCTGCATGGTTGCTGTAGCTGTTAGTTTTCAACTATGATATGAGCTACTTGTCCTCAGAAGTCTAATTTTGATCTTGAATATTGCCGCAGGAAGATGATCATCTTGCCAAGGAAGCATCATGTAATATATCAGCTCATCAGCAGGGAGTGAAGAGGAAGGCTGATACACCACTGGGGTCCCCACTAGAACCTGGTCAAATACTGGAGAAGAATGAGGATAGCAGTAAAGTCAAACTCAAAATCAGAGTAAGAAATACAGGTTAAACCTGTATTAACAGTGTAGGATATATACCTTCTTGTAAATCTTTTTGAGTACTTGAAGTGGTTTTTCCTTAGCAGGAACACATGGGACAGACTGAATCATAAAAGAGCCCAAATGTCCATCTAATACATTCCAACCAATTATTTAAATTCCATTATCACATATGTCTTCTCTCTTTGGGGGAGGAACTATATGTGCACAGTCTACCACAGCTCACTATTTCTTCCCACGATGTAAAAATAGATTTTAGTAGCTAATTTATTTCTAGTAATTTCTAATCAGCTTCTTTTGGAGGCTGGACTATATAATCTTTTCTTTCTCTCAATGCTTTTTGAGAAAAAGATTAATTTTACTGTAAGATTATTTGGGGTTATATCCTATGGCCTCTCCGTTACTTTCCTAAGAGCTGAGATCCAAACATTAAGTGATCTTATGGTTCTTTTTTTCCTTTCTTTTGTGTATGTGCATTTTAGTTTTCAAATTCGCAAGATGAGGAGGAGATTGATATGGATACTGTCCATGATAGCCAGGCGTTCATTTCTCATCATTTGAATATGCTTGAAAGACCATCAACTCCAGGTATGATCTGTGTACTTCTCTCGCAAGGGTATGGGGAGACTTCATGTGTATCACTATTTTATAATGTGTTGCTTTATTTTCAAATGACTGTTATAAAGGATAAAAGTGACCAGTATGGAATAATGCAGCCTATCCTCAGGAAAATGCTTTCTCCTTTTCTTTGAGTCCCAAGTGAGTGGTTGTCCTTTGTAGCTAGGGTTTTGAACTGATGAACTATATAGCTTATCAGCCTAGCAAGTATGGTAAAGAGTGGATGCGACTCAAATCAAAATGCCTAAGTGAGAAACATCCAAGTCAATGAGGATGAAAAATTTCTACCTTTTTAAATGTTGCCATAAACTGAGTTATCTCACAGTTACCTGCTGCATCCACATCTGCTGCTGCCTTCACCAGTGGTTGAATCATATCGAGGTGCTGCTAGCAACAGTGGAGTGTCCCATTCTTGTTATGTGTGTCAGTATGAACTCACCTAAGTGAACAACATAGCTCACAATAAATGATATTTTTAAACCAATGATACCGCAATAAAAATAAATACTGAAAAGCAAAATAAACAGTTCAAAAACAATGTATGAGGAATATAAAAATAAAATTTATTAATTAAAAAAAATAAAAAAAAAATAAAAGTTACATCTGAAATAAACAAAAAAATAAATAAATGTAACATCTGAAAAAAAAAAAAGTGAAAATCAAAATCAACAAAAAACTATGAACCAGAGACACTTTTTGGGGGGTGGGGGCGGGAAGGGAGGGATTGGGGTCAGAATGGGGGGGTTGCAATTGTATGAGGAATATAAAAATAAAATTTATTATTTAAAAAAAAAAGAAAGTGAAAATCAAAATCAACAAAAAACTATGAACCAGAGACACTTTTTGGGGGGTGGGGGCGGGAAGGGAGGGATTGGGGTCAGAATGGGGGGGTTGCAATTGTATGAGGAATATAAAAATAAAATTTATTATTAAAAAAAAAAAAAAAAAACATGTTATTTGTGTCAACATAAAAAAGTAAACTATTGGGCCTCCCCGGTGGCGCAGCAGTTGAGCGAATCTGCCCGCAGCCTTTGCAGCGCTGGTTTGATCCCCAACTGCCGGGCGAGGGTCCCACATGGCGCGACAGACCACTCCTGCTGTGCATGCTGCTCCCCGCAGCAGTGTATTTCGTTAGTCTGCCTGTTCTGCTCTCTGCTATGTCTCTGGTGAATTCTCTCACCCCCCCCGTGCTTCTGACTGTACCCAGTCCTTGTATAAATAAATAAATAAATCTTTTTAAAAAATTTAAAAAAAAAAGTAAACTATTGTGAAAATATTCTTTTTTTTTTTTTAAGATTTATTTATTCATGCATACAAGAGCTGGGGTACAAGCCAGAGATGTGGGGGGGATGAGAGGATTCACCCGAGACAGAGTGGGCAACAGAACAGGCAGATTAATGAAGTACACTGCTGAGGGGAGCAGTGGGTGAGTCAGGAAAGGTCTGCTGTGCCATGTGGGTTGCTCCTTGGCTGGCCGGGGATCGAACTTGTGTTGCAGAGGCTGCAGATTACTTTATAGTGCAGTGCTTAACCACTTGTGCCACCAAGGAGGCCCTATTGTGAAAATATTCTGTAATGATAAAGATTGCTTATGTTAAAGGACTAAAATACATTTTTCTCTCAAAGAACTTGTAGTCATCACATTAAATCATTGAATGAAAATTATATATCAATAATTGCTTTTTTTTTTTTCATAGGCACGTCCCTTATTTAAAAAATGCCTTTTTGCATAATTCTGAGTTTCAAATCCTGAGAAAATGTGTAATTTTATTTAGTGAAAAAATACATGCTTTAAATGTCATGATTTATTAAGTAAACAGTATCCTAGAGATGATGAATTAAGTTTATAATACATTCTTTTAATGAATTTTTATGAATGCATGTCTATGAATATGACTTTGGTTTTATTCTGGATATTTTATCTTTCTATTTAAAAATTCCATTCATATTTCATGCTAGTTGTCTTTTCTGATTCTCACTTTTGATTGAGTTTTTTTTCTTTTTTAACATGTTCCATTTGCCCATATTTCCCTTTAATCACCATGGTCTGCTTTTTGTTTGTTTGACTTTTGCCTTTATTGGTAATGAGACCTAAATTATTTTCACTAGTATCTAATAATCTTTTTTTTAAAGATTTATTTATTTATGCATATAAGAACTGGAGTACAGGCCAGAGGTGTGGGGTAGGGGTGGCAGGGTGAAAGGATTCACCAGAGACAGAGTGGGAAACAGAACAGGAGAATTGGCTGAAATACACTGCTAGGGGAGCAGCGGGCCAGTCAGGAGAGGTCTGCTGCACCATGTAGTTCCCCCCTCTGGCCAGCAGGGGAACAAACCTGTATGGGAAGCCTCATAGTGCTGCTTCTCAACCCCTTGCACCACCAGGGAGGCCCCTAGTATCTAATAATCTAAAGGTGGCCCCTAGTATCTAATAATAAATAATATTATTATTAGTATCTAATAAATCTAAAGGTGGCCCCTAGTATCTAATAATCTAAAGGTAGAACATGAACCAAAAAATATTTGAAAATTGACAGGTCATAGGTTCTTTGGTTTTTTATAATTACAAGGAATCTTAAAACAATCCTTTCATTACTGTTAATTAAAACACTGAGAGATATAAAAGGACTTAGATGACACACTCAAGTAATAGCCACTTCAAAACTAGACTCAAATCTTAGAACTTTGCCATATAACAAGTGATGGAATTGAGATAGGAGAATGCCTTTATGATATATCTAATTTGTTGATAATTTAGAATCAGAACCTGGATCTCTGATACCCACTATAGTGCTGTTCACATTATACCATTAAAACATTTCATACTTTAAGTATCTCCAATACCCCCTAAATTGTTTTCATCTATTTGTTGTGTAAATATCATTATGAAATTTACCAGCAAATTTTGGGGAAGTGAGCAAACTTTACTATATATAGTTCCACATAAATAATAAAAAATAGTGCATGATTTCTGCCCCAGAATACAGCATCCAGTTTATATATTTAGCAGGCCATAGTTACTCCCATGAAAGTGTAGTGTCCTCAGACTTAGGCATATAGAACCATGACAAAGGATTAAATCAAATAGGATCTTCAGTAGTTTTAAAAGTGACATTCATTTTATTATAATTTGACTGGTTGAACTGCTTCTGTGTTTTAAGGTAACTTTAAAAACCTGTCAGGCTTTTTTCTTTTGGGGAACAAAAAGAATGAATTCCTGTTTTTTCTTGTTGGCATGTTAGGGCTCTCTAAATATCGACCGACTAGTTCCCGATCTGCTTTAATACCCCAGCACACAGCAGGCTGTGACGGCACACCTACTACAAAACCTCAGTGGACTATGGAACTTGCACGGAAGGGAACAGGTGAAAGTATTATTATCATCATTTTGCTCAAGAACATTTCTATAAACTTCATTAAGTTTCATCAACTGAAAAGATCTAAGGACTTTGACTTTCCTTGCAATGGATTGGCTTTGTATTATCTAACATATAGCCTATTGTAAATCAGAAATTTTACTACTTCAAGAATAATCTGCTCCTATTATAGAGAGCTTGGAAGTAACCAAAGAGTAGAAAGATGGGGGTGGGGGGGAACCATCTCTCATTATGCCACCCAGGATATACATTTTATTCGCATTTTGTTCTTTCCTTGCAATGCTGTTTCTAAGGATATTATATATGAAAAACACCAACTTCAGTAGAAAGTGTCAAATCTGTGCCTTTCTACCTTTGTAAAATACAAAAATAAACTATTTCTCCCCTTTCCCGCCCCCCAAAATATTTATAATGGATCATTCTTGAAAAAGTGATGTTCCACTTCAATAACTAATACGTTCTGTCTCCTCAAGTACTTTGGTCTAATTGGGCTTAAGTTTATGAAAGGTAATTCAGTTCAGATGTGTTTCTACCTATTCTACTATTTCACATAGTCTTCTGCTTACTCTGTTCCTCTGTTGCTTATAAAAGAGATTATAATCCAAATAAAGTGTGAGCATTTGATGTGATGAGCTACTATGAAACGGAGATTCAGTCTTCAAGTTTTGGAGAAACAGGGAGTGAAAAGCAAGATACATGAACAAAATAATTAAAGAATAGCTTTTCCAGAAGTCATTAGTCAGACTGAAATTCCAACTGGTGGAGTTGCTTGGATAAACCATGTTTTTTGGTTTTTGTTTTTTTTTTAATATAAACAAGACTTACTGACTTGAGGAGCTTAGGGATCAACTTGCAGGAGAGTGCAAACAAAAGCAGCACCTCAAGATATTTTGATTTTGAGACCCCAGCCTGTTGGTTGCTTATATTATCTCTTTGTGTGCTCTGTGTATGTACTGTAGTAGATTCATACAAAATCCATTTCAGCAGAAAATAATCTGAAGACTTACTTCAACGTTTTGATAAGTGAATTTTGGCTTTTGTTGGCTTTGCCTAATTCTGGTTTTTGGAGTAATTTTGCTTTATTTCACTTACCAAATGTTAGTAGACATAACTTTTTTTAATTATCAAGCTTAGTGAGCTTCAAATTTCTTGATACAGTTTGAGAGCGCCTGCCTTCACACCTTTAAAAAAATTTCCCTAACTAACAAATACACTTTTAACTTATATCATCTGTGCTCAATAGAAGAGTCAAACCTAGCCATGTGGGCAGCAGTGTTTCTGAGAAAGGCGCACTCAGAGCTCCATCTTTTGGAATGTCAGAGCACTTGAACCAAGTAAAATTGGCAATAAAAGCAGGAGGTTCCTCTCTTACTGCTTCCCTGCAGTTGGCCAGGAGTCTATCTCTCTCTGATAGCTAACTTGGCCTGGAATTGAGAGTTGGGGGTTAAGAGAAGACATAGAAGTGAAGCTGAGACCTCTTAAGTTTCTAGGGATTATACATTAAAGTTCATAGTGATTTTTTTGGGTGTTACTATATTCCTCTGTTGCAACAGAGGCATCTTTTATTTTGTCAATTAAGTCTTCAAAAAAATTTTGTAGTAGTTGACTGTAGAGAGTACTGTTGAAAGTAGAGATTATATGTAAAAATGTAGATTTCCAGCTTTTTTGGAAAAAGTTAGCTCAGAGGCCCTCTCAGGAAGGTATGCTTTCCATCACTGATCCCTGTGTATTGCACTTCATGGTCTGCTTGTTCACTTACACTGGCTTTGGGTTTGAGGTCCCTGCTTCCTTTATTCATGAGCTGAGATGAAGTTTTAGATGATTCTCTTGGAGTCAGCTGGCCAGGCAGTAATTGAGAACTAAACTATGTTACGGACACTATCTGGGAGGGACAGAAGAAAGAAATGGTGGGATCTAGGTAAGAAAAAGAGGGTTGAATGGAAACTTCTAAGTGAAGGACTGGTCACAGTACAGTTTTGCCATGTTTTTCCCCTCAGTTTTTTCTTTCCCTGCATATGATAGAAGAATATTTTAGGGTAGAAATGTTAGGTGGGTGATAGGTTAACCATTCAGGGTAAGAAAGGAAGAGTGGCAGGAGCATTTTTCTTCATTACTTTATTCCTTCCTATCTCCTCAGGAAAGGAAGTTGGAATAGGGAGAAAGGGCTGTATGGGAGTATGGAGACATAGAGATGGGCCCATCCCATGGTGATGGGCTGAGCGTGTCATGTCCTCTCCTCTCCCATCCCTGTGGCTCTTGTCCAGCCCTGTAAAGGCTGAAGGAGTTGTGGTGATAAAGGAGGGGGACAGGGTGAGGAGCAGAGGGAAATCCCTAGTGGTATCTGTGGGGAGAAGGAGGAGAGTTCCTGCAATATTACATAACACCTTCTTGCATAAGTCAGAAAAGTACTATTCTGGAGCATAAAATCCTTTAAAACAAAACAAAAAAAGCCCTGAGAATGCCAGAGTTCTTTCTATTGGAACTAATATGAAAAACAGCCTTTGATTTTATTTTAATTTTTATATAATTTGGACTTTATCTTTTTACAGTGCTATAAAGAGTCCAAAATACAGACTTGATATTTTCCCTTTAAAAACTAGAGATTTTGTGTTAAAGTTTAAACATATTTTGAATGAATTTAGTAGAATAAGCAGATTACATACTGTTATGAGTACTTTTATCAGGTAAGCTGAAAAACTTTCATATTAGACTTCTGTTAAGTACGTCTTTGTTTTGCATTTCTTAAATTGACTGCAGGCAATTCCTATCCATAGTATATTTTATCATGACTCCAGGAAAGATTTTGTATTGGAGGGAACAACAAAACAGAACATCTGTTATATAACAGATGCTATAACATATAGATCATATAACATGAAGTAGGAAAATTATGATGTGAGTTATATTTATCTCCGTTTTCGGGTAGATCTGCTATTTACAATGAGACATATATTTCAGGTTACTGTAAAGACTTTCATTAGCTTAAAACTGAGTGGTACCTAACCATAAGCAGGCCCCAAATTACCTGGCATCTTGTAAACTTTGGAAATGATATGTGAAATCATGTGTCTGTGCCAGGTGGATGGCAATATTTTCATTTTTCTCAGTAGAGATTATGTCGATCATCTCACAATGCTAAGGGAAAATAAACTCACTCATGTGCCCCTACTCGACATGGAAGGAAACTACATTTTTTAATCACCTTGGATTAGACCTGGTAAAAATTATTTAGGAAAGATAGAAAATAAGCAGACAAAAAATATATATTGTCTGAAATAAAAACAGGGAATAACAGTTGTTGGTGGTGATAGAGTAACATTAGGTTTTATCAGATGTTATGTTGTTATAAATAGTATTTAACAAATATTTATATGTAATATATGTCTTTGTACATATGTATGAATACATTTGTGGGGTAAATTTCTAGAAACGTACTTTCTAAAACAAAGAATGTGGTCATTTAGCTTTTTTATGTGTAGTGCCAAATTGACTTCTCTTTTTTAAAAAATGCTGCATTATGGAAACTATAAAATCGGCACAAACTAGTATTCTGGATACCCACCTAGCCGTTGTTACCTTCAACAATGATCAGATCATGGCCAGTCTTGTGGAATCTATACCTTTATCCATCTCCACCTTTCTGAATTATTTTGAAACAAATCCTATGTATCATTTTATTCCTAAATAATGTAGTATGCAGCTCTCTATTAAGTTTTAAAATATTGTAACCACAGTAATATTTTTATACTTGTGAATTTTTTTTTCAAATCATTAATTGCCCAGTCACTATTTAAATTTCAGTTGACTCATAAATGTCATTATTTTAATTTTTAACAATATCTTTGAATCAGTGTCCATATAAGGACCTCACATTGTAATTGACATACATCCTTTGTGTCATTTTTCATTTCCAGTCCATCTTTTTTTCTTTCCCTTCTCCCCCCCCACACTTTGCAATATCTGTTGAAGAAACCAGGGTTTTGGTTTATAGTTTAAGGCCTGTATTTTTCTAATTGAATGTGATAAAATTAACATGTTAGAGTCCTCTGTTTTCCACAAATCTGTAGTTGTATCTAGAAACTTAATTAGATTCAGATTTATAGTCAGTGGCATGTCCTTCCCTCTGAAAGCACAGAGTGTCTGGATGACTTCCTTTACGAGGTTAGCCGCCAGGATGTTCAAGACCTAGATCCATTAATTCACAAAGGAGCTGCAAGATGGTGATACTCATCTTTCCATTTTTCTTTATAAGCTGGATTATTTAAAACTAAATCCCCCCTCATCTACTATTATCCAATGGTAGAGATCATATAGGAAAAGAAAGATAAAGGCTTAATTTTCTTTATTAATAATTTATAAAATAATTAGTTGGCTAACTAGCATCCTCCAGTGGTGATCACTCAGTGCCAGTCTACCACAGTTAATATCCTCATCACTATTCAAGTTATCCCGTCTTAGGACAGCAAGAACTTCTTAAATGGATACTTGAGTCCATTTGAGGAGACTTTAACTTCCTTACTATAATACCAGATGTTTTATGCTCACCTTGTAAATATTCTGCCCAAACCCGCAATCAGTTATTTGTTCTAATACCATTATCCTTGGAACTAGCTAATATATTGTCTTAATAGACTTCAGGCAAATCAAGAAAAATGTAAGATGTAGAATCAGTTATATCTTTAATATAAAGTGTAAGGCCACTAGACAGGAGGTTGGATTTACTTTAGAAGTGAGTGTTAAGTATTGCTTTGAAGAGAATACTCCAAAGTACAGTCATTTGTTCATTTGTACTTTGTTGGTAAGTACATATGTTTCCAATATAATTATTGGCTTTTCTGCAAGCCAAGTAGTTTGGCAGGTGTTTAGGATTAGACGATGAACCTTCTCTCTGAAGAAAGGGACTTCAAACTTCTAAAATAATCTCAGACAGCCAATTGAAAATCTTCAGAGTTTGCTGATGTAGACTGAATAAATAATGAGATGGGGCTGAAGGATTTGTTCTTGAGGCTTTAAAGTCTCATTATTTCTCATCACCTGGCTATGTATTCTGTTATGTGTGGATCTATTTTTCCATATTTATAAAATTGGGATCATATCATATAATTAAAAATCTAAACCAAAATCATCTAGTGGCATATTTGACTAATACTGTAAATCAGGTCTCTCTCAAAAGTGTTCTCTTTCTGAAGAGTATCTGGACACCAATAATTACAAAAGATACCAGTCACAAAATTTAAGTTCTTTAATTTTTACACTACCAGTGTTAACTTTACCGAAAAGTCATGAATTTGAAGTATGTGATTATTAGTGAAGAGAAGTATGAAAAATCTGTGAGGACAGGAACTTTACTGACTTGTAGAATGCTGGAATGAGGCCTGATACAATGGAAGTATTACTCAATCGAAACCTCTTGAATGAGTGATTCAAAATAGTTTTTGTGCTTTACTCTACCTTCAAAACTTTGACCATCAAATTGTATTTAATTGGATTAAGTTCGCCCGACATCCTATTTAAAAAGAAACACCTTTATGTAATTCTGTTATGTTAATTCATTAATTTAGCAATTAATGAATTGCTAAGCAGCAGAGGTGGGGGTGTGTGTAGTGAGTGAGAGAGACTGTATGAATCCCAGGATTACAAAAATGAAAAAGACAAACTCCCTGATCTCAAGAAGCTCTTTTTCTCATGAGGAGACCCGAAGGTGTACAAGAGGATGCCCCTTGCTCTGTGCAGATGGGCAGGGGTTACTCTGAAGTCAGGTGCTCTGGGTTTGTAGCTCAGATCCTTCAGTACCACCTTGGGCAAGTCAGTTAATTTCTCTGTGCCAGAATTCTCTCATCTGTCTTATATTGTGGGCACATGAAAGAGTTGATGCTTTGAGGGTAGTTTAAAGATAATTTTCCAAATAAATGCCATTTGAGTTGAATTTTAAACTGTTAAAGAGTCTAGAAGTTTTTTTCTTTCTCTTCTCTCTCTGTTAGGGTACAGTTTAAATTGTCTTGGGAAAAGTTAGCTTCTGATTCCCTCAACTAATTTAAGTCTCCTGGGTTGCTTGTGTTTCAGCACAGTTTTGTCTTTTTATTATACAGGTGTACTTAGTTGTTTTCTTCTTTGCTAGTGTGTAAGCTCTGGAAGATTGAGATGTATCCAGTTCATCACTGTCTTCCCCAGTCCCCCTATAGTTTCTGATGTTTGTTAAATGAATGTGTGATTCAGACAAGAAATAAGGGAAGGGCATTCCAAACATAGGAAATAGTATTTGCAAATGGCGCAGTTATGAAAGGGCCAGCTGAGAGTGTGTAGAAGGAACAGAAAAAGGTAATTCTGGGAAAGAGAGTCCAGGACAGGCTGCCAATAAAATTAATGCTGAAAAATGATTTTTGGAAACCATCTGTGATGATGCCTGTTTCATCAAAATCACGGTTAAGGAGCTGGCTTGGTTTAAAACTAGTGGTGAGAATTAACAAAAAAGAAAAGAAACTGCGTTGAAGTCTATTTTAATGAAAAGCCCCTGTTTTTTAAGCTAGTTTGGATTAAGAAGAAATATTTTTTTCAGATATGACTGCCAAGTCCAAGGAATTTGGCTTTTATTCTGTTGGTGAAACCAACTGAGTTTTTAAGCAGATGATTACAATCAGCTTTGTTTTTAGAAGACCACTATGTAGCAGCGTTTCCCGTCCTGAACATTATTGGCAATTTGGGCGCAATTTGTCGTAGAAGTCTGTCCTGTGTATTACATGATGTTTGACAGCATCTGGAGCCTCTACCCATGGGATACCAGTAAGCTTCCTTCCTCAATCCCACCTCCAGTTGTGACCGATAAAAATCTCTCCAGATGTTGCCAAATAGCCCGGCATGGGGGAGGTTGTGAAGTGCTGCTCTGCAGCTATGTTGTAAAGTGTGGATTCGAGTATAAGGTACTTGAGGCAAAGAAAACAGTTCACAGGAGACTAGTACTGTAATCCAATGGGGAGAAGTGGTCTGAATTAATGTATTTGGAGAGGATATGGGTATAGATTTAAGATACTGTATGTGAGAGTCAACAAGTTTTAATAACTAACCAAATCTAGAAGGGAGAGCTTCTGAGGAGATTCTTAGGACCCTTGGCATACAGTAATATTAAAAAAATTCTCAGGGTATGGCCCAAGAATTATAAGGTGTGGAGGAAGCAAGAAATTCTTGTACACCGGTGTCTGAGAACTGCTGTTATGGATTCCTAGCCTGACAGCATGTTATAGAAGGAAAGAACCTTCAGAGACATTTGATCCATTTTAAGGTGAGAAAAAGAGGTAAAGCTATGTCTGCTGAGTTCACTTACAGTTCACTTGCCCATATAGTGCCAAAAATTGTTTTAAGTAACTATAGAGATTTGGATTTTTCACTAGGTATCATTCTCGGTAGCTAAGGTAATAAGTTTATGTGTGTATTAGTGGGTCTCTAGATGGCATATATAAATACTGCCATTATTCTCTCTAAACCTTAGGGCAGAACTGTAGTTCATGGGTCTATGTTTTCATTGACCAGGGGATTCTTACTGTATAACACACACACATAATAATCATTATTGTTGCTTTGTTGTACTTTAATAAACAATATTTTTTAGAAGATGATTGGTAACACTGGTTTATGTCATCATTTGTATAGAGTATAAGGAACTCAAGTTTTCAACTTCCTGGTGCCACAATCCTGAAAATTTTCCCTCTGTCACTAGTTGGATATCTTATTTAGCTACTCCCATTCCTAATAATTCCCATGAAAGTGGTAAGCACTTAGGAATCCCTCCTTTCCATGCTGTCATCAGCTCCCTCTTACTTTCCTTTCACTTTTCCTTGTTATCAACAGGAATTCATGTGGGTGTTTTTAATCTTGAAGGTAAAGAACAGTCACCTTTGGAGATGAGTATGCATCCAGCTGCAGCAGCTCCACTCTCAGCGTTTACTAAGGAATCTACGTCCTCCAAACACAGTGACCACCACCACCACCATCACCATGAGCACAAGAAAAAGAAGAAGAAGCACAAACATAAGCACAAGCACAAGCACAAGCATGATAGTAAAGACAAGGACAAGGAGCCTTTCACCTTCTCTAGCCCCGCCAGCGGCAGGTCTATTCGCTCTCCTTCTCTTTCAGACTGAGAAGGGGCACAAGGAGACCTGTCACTCAGTGTCCACAAGAACATACGTAACTAAAGCTTTGTTCTCTGTGAAGAGTGATAAAAGGAAAAACGAAACAATTACCTCTCACAGAAATTCAGAATCCTTCTAAACATTTGATTTACATTATTTATACTGTTGAGATCTAATAAGAAAAATGTGTTTTAAAGTTCTAAATAAACCATTTCATCCCATTTCCTCCTTGAAACACACCCACACAGTGCAGACTTCTTTCCATAAAGGCCTCATACCCATTGGCAGTCCCCATTCATATCATGGTCTCCATGTGTACTGCCAAAGTCAATTATGTTTTAAAACCTTTGATGGATGTTATGCGGCAAAGTGATGTTTTAAACAGAAGCTACTGCCAAATCTGTGGTGAAACCACTATTTCCAGTGAGATATTGTATAACACCATTTGGAACTACTGAAAAGGACAGAGGCTTTTCTAGAGGAATCTTCTCTGTTGCACTGTTTTTGATGTTAACCGTTAAACTTAGCATCAGAATTTATGAACAAGAATACATGGTATTTTCTTTTACCCTGAAATACTAACATTTTCAGAAACAACTCTAAAAAATATTTTTTGATACCAAGTTCAGCAATTATGATGTTGGAATTTAATAGAAATGTCAAATCTACAATTCTCAAATCAAGATGTTTAAATTGTAAGTTCTTTTTTATTAAGTGTGACTATGTTCAAACATAGAATATGTTTTGCTAAATCTGGACAATTAACACCCAACACATATTCTAAAATTACTTCTATATAAAAAAAATATGATACCTTAAAAAGGTGAGTTTATATACTGTTATTAACTTGAACACAGGTAGTTGGGCCCTTGTGTGAGTATACCAGAAGCATTTAAAAGTATGAAACATTTTAGTTTCATACTTAAATTGTTTGTATGTTTGTATTTTTAGTTCTGGATTTACTGTGCTTTATTTCTTGTTTGTCTGAAAGTGTTTTTCATACCTATTCTATTTTTTATCACTTTCCTTATCATTAAAAGCTTGGCAAAACACTTCTTCCCAGAATAGATATTTTAAGGGACTGTAATAATGTTGGACTTTTACTGGTTCCTTTTCTCTCTGCCCCCATTTACGATATTGTCATTCACCCTCTCTTCGTAGTATCCTGCTCAGCGACGATCTACGTAAAATTGTGATTCAGGGGCATTTTGGTGCTGTTCGGAGCAAGAGCCAATGTTAGAAGTTCCCTTAGAAGGAAACGTACTAGAGTGGAAGCATCTTGAGTGATTGCGGTAGAGCTCAGTCACACTGGGAGATGTGTTCACAATTGGGGTGCCTGGTAGCTGCAGTATTGTAATGTGTGAGGGAGCTACTGTGAGGCTGGCATATTCAGAGTTGCATTCTTGAAAGAAAAAAAAAAGCTTAGTTATGTTTATCTTATTTAATAAATGTTTTTAATTGGTTCTTCTGCCTTTGTATCTTTTGATATCTTTTCTTACTTATTTCTGCGTGTGCTTATATAAAATGAACTTAATTCGCCAAGTTTGTAAAAAAGCCATGTGAATAAGTGGGACTTGAGCTGACTTCAATTCTAATGAAGTAGGCAGAAATGGGGTGAAGTTCTCTCAGCAGGAGAAACAGTATTTCCAAAGTAATGGGGGAAGCACCCCATATTCAGGAACAGGAAAGCGCAGTCGGCCTGGAGTTTACAGGAAAGGCAATGTTATGAGACACAGACATATGTGGCAGTTAAATCCTAGTTGAGTGTTGGCACTAAAATTTTTTTGGGGAAATGGAATAATTTATACTGTAGTGTGCAATGATACTATATCTGGAATCCCCAACTTTGAAAACAGTAAGGATACATTTCAGTAACTGTTAGTGTTGTAGGCGACAGTAACAATTATTAGAGTTAATGTGTGCTGGCAGCTGTTCGTTATGTGTGTGTTTTCTGAGCTGGATATTTACACTTGATATTTCTTGTGAGAAACATTTTTTATGGTCTGCTTTCAGTTATTTAAGCTGATAGTTATGAGCAGACGGCAAAAATTATTTTTACCAGTATTTTTTTAAATCGCTAATTACATGCAAGCAATGTAAAGTCCTGGTTTCAGTCTCCTCTGTTGTCTTCCCTGGAGACAGTCGCTGTGGCCAGTGTGACATGTATCTTCCCAGAGCTAGTCTGTACATATGTTACACCATATATACTTTTTTTTCACAAATGGTAATTATAAAAATTTATTTTTGTATAGTTTACCTTTTTTGACACTACATTTTGTGTCGTACAAAGGTCTTATTCCATGATTATAAAAGAATTCATTTTTTTCCCCACTGGTTTTAAAGTTTCATGTTTCAGGTTTATATCCTTTATCCAACTAGAATCCATCTGGAATTTATTTTTGATAGACAGTAGGAGGTAGAATCCATTTTTTTTTCCCTTCCAAAATGCTACTCTACCCCATGTATTTAAAAGTCCTTTTCTCTGTCTAGATTTCAAGTGTTAGATACTAAATTTCCTTAGATATTTGAGTCCATTTCATGACTTTGAAATGTAATTGACTTTGTAATTGCTAGTTCCCGCTATGTGCAGTATTGTATCTCTATGATGGGTTTTGATGTGTTAGGCCTAGTTTCGCTAACATTTCTGGCTATTCCACTCGGCTATTTTATTTTTTTCAGGAAAACTCACTCCTGGTGTATTTCTGTAGGTTTTGACAAATGCTTGGTGTTGTGTTTCCATCACCACAGTTCATACCCCCAGGACTTCTCCAGCTGCCCCTTTGTAGTCAACTCTCCCACCACTCAACTCTCTTGTACTGATTGACTTTTCCATTGCTATAATTTTGCTTTTTGTGGATTTATTTTTCTATATAAATAGAGTCAGTCTTAGAGTCAGTCTTTCCCGTATCTCCCTAAAATGGTTTTTGTAGTTGGTTGTATGTTAAATCAAGAGTTGGACTGGATATCTTGGTGTTAATCTTTTCTATGAGAGGTGTCTATATTACTATAACTGCATTATAAATTGCTTTTTTGTTTTGTATTCTATAGATGGTGCCTTTTCATTCTAAGTTTTTTTAAAATTTATGCTGATCTTGTGCTGAGCTGTTGCATTAAACAGATGCTCCATAGAAATAGAGCATCTATACCTTAAGAAACCTACCTCCACCTCTTTATATTGGGGAGTGTCATTTTCTTAGACCTCAATTCAAATGCTAATCTTCTGACCTGCCCTCACTGGCACACCTGGAAATACTGTTTAATCAGCTATCTGCATGTCCTTTGGCTGAGTCAAGCTGACAAAATTAACCATCAGAGAAACATTACCAAATTCTCATTGTTTGTAACTTTTTTTTTATTTTATTGTGGTAACCCTGGTTTACAACACTGTACAAGTTACAGCATTGCAGCTTCACATTTTTAATGCATTTCTTGGGTTTCACTTGAAAGTAATTGTATCTTAAAATGATGGTGATTTTATTACCTCTGTTCTAATTTTTTACACTTTTAATTTTGTAACTTCCGTTGCCTGACTTCTTGTTCAGTTTGCCTGAGAGCTGTGGTGATGGGCGTCCTCTCTGTGTCTTCTGCTCCCTGATTTCCTCTGCATTTGGCAGCCCTTCTGGTGTTCTGTGTTTGTGTTTCAAATTTCCTAGAACTTGAAGTTTACAGCTTTTGTTTCTTCTTCTTATTTCATTTGTGTGATTCTTCAAGAGAGACAAGTTACCACGAAAGTCTTATAAACTCCTTAAAAAGACATTTTGATCAAAGTATTCATTGTTACATTGAAATCCTCTGGAAAAGAGCTGAAAGCTGCTTTAGTTCTCCCCTCCTCCTTTCCTAACCCATCTCTTGTGTTTTCAGCTTCTCTGAAGAAATGAAATTTCTTCATATGAAATGTGCTCCAGTCCAAGGAGAATTGTCTTTCAAAGCTCTTGACCTTTCAGTGTGGGCTGGACTGAGTCACTTTCAAGGAATAGAGCATAAAAGGAAAAAAACAAAAAAGTACAGTTAAGAAAACTGACAGAGGGGGAGGTAGAGAGAAAATGGAAGGGAGGGAGAGAGAGGACGGGAAGAAAGCCAGAAGACTGCCTTAGATCTGGTCACCGGGGATACCCCATGTTAATATCACGCCCTCAATATGAAGTGATGAGAAGGGCCCTTCACCCCCGGGATGGCTTCTCTATAGGTCTAAAAACTCTTAATCCCTGTCTGTCCAGTCTACGTGAGAGGGAAAGATCAGACAAACCCAAACTGAGGGACACTGTAAAATACCTGACCTCCTCAAAGTTATTAATTACTCCTCAAAGTTATTAATTATGAAAACTGAGAGGTGGCTAGGAGGAGAGTGTCCCAACCAAAGGAGACCGAGGAGGCCTGACAGCAGTGCGCTGGGTTTTCCTGGCTTGGATCTTGCAACAGACATTAGTGGGAAAAACTTGTGAAATCCAAATACATTCTGGAGTTAATGTACCAGTGTTGGTTTTTCAGTTTTGACAAATGTGCCATGGTAATGTTTGTTGTAACCAGTAGGGAAAATGGTGACGGGTAGATGAGAATACTTGCTAAGGAGGAAAATTTGCTGATTTTGAAAAGGACTGTAATCCTTCTAAGCTACAAAGTAGCTTTTGATCACTTCTATAGCCTGACCTGTTTACTTCTTGCAGAAATAAAAAAAATTAATTTTTCTCATCTCATGATTTTACAAGAAATGTGTGCACTTAATGGAGGAATATTTGGAAAGAGGTCAAAGGGAGTGATGATAATGACCCAAGGATCAAAAAGTATAAAACCTTGTGAGGAAAAGTATAAAAGAATATTCTCTGAAGAGAAGAAAGGGGTTGAGAGGCTAGCCTTAATTTTTTTTAAGTCTCCAACTAGATTCTGTAAGCAAATGAAGAATATGTGATCGGGTACAGTTGGGGGACTACCTCGTCCCTGAGTTTTACTGTGACCATCACTCACCTACCACAAGTACTTACTGGACTCTGGCTTACTGGACTTTTGCCTATTACCTCTGTTAAAGTCAAGGAACACTTCTTGATATTTTGGAAAATTCTATTCCATATGTTTTTCCATTTGATTTTCAATGTTAGTATTGTACTTACATGTAGATATTTTATCACCAAAATATGACTTTCTCAACCAGTTTTAGAAAATGTGTCACTTAATATTCAAGCCTTTTGTTCAGTGAAAATTATTGAGAACCTCACATCATACTGGAGTACTGACATTTAAAGTTTCTTAACAAGCAGTGGTTCATGTTACTTTTTAACTCAGTAATATCTACATGATTTAAACACAGTAATTGAATGCCTATAAAGCCAGCACTACTTCTTTTTTCTAAAATCTGTTTCTCTTGGTTTAACTCAGAATCTCAAATTTTTGATTCACATTATTTTAAAAATTTGAGTGCCTATATGTAATGTATATATATATTTATAAATGTATGTTAGTACATATGCAGTTTAGTTTTAGGGTAAAATGTTTGTTTTTAATCCATGCTGACAATCTTTGTTCATTTGCTATATCATTTATATTAAAGTTATATAGTTTACATAGTTGGTTTTGTATCTATCATATTCACTATAAAATATATACAAGAAAGGATAGGATAAAGATGAAATAAATTATAAATGTTCTGCAATTCATGATAGCTTCATACTGTCATAGATTCCTTTTTTTTTTTCTGTCATAGATTCTTAATGTCTTAAAGCCCAATATAAATTTAGTTCATATTTGTCAATCCACATTTCACATTAATAATTTTTTTTCTCTGATGTGACTAGGAGGTAATAAAAACTACCTATGAGTATGCGTTAGCTAATTTAGTCTTAACAACAACCATATGAGATAGGCATTATGATTATAATGAAGAAATGAAGGCATAAAGTGTTAAGCCAAAGGTCACATGGCTTATAACAGCATTTGGATTCAAACTTAGCTTGGCTCCAGTTATCTGTGCGACTTGCACTGTCTGGTGTAGAAGCCATTAGCCACATATGGCTAAGGAAATTGAAATTACTTTTTTTTTCAGAAAGCATTTAGTATCTCATTTGCACTAGATAGATTTCAAGCTTGATAACCCTGTGTGGCTAGTGATTCCCATATTGGACAGATTCAATCTAGAGCGTTTCCATCATTGCTCTAGATAATTATTTTTTTATGTTTTTTATCTTGCCCTGGGGCTTTGGCAGAACGCATGCTGTGAAATAAGCATTGGCTTAGTTCTCTTTCAGTTGTTGGCTTATGCTTGCGTGATTGGCGTTCAATCCAGTTTGGTTTTTTTTGTTTTTTTTTGTTTTTTTTTGTAGGACTGTCTCAAAGACATTTGTCTGCTTGTGGTATTTGTTCTAATTAAAACCAGATAATATGACCATAAGTCCATTTAACTGGACACATACATGACCTTCTCCTTCTGTCAAATTACAGAAACGAATGAGAACACCTCTGGCCCTAACCCCTTGATACTGAAATACCTCCCATGTTATCTGACAGAATCATGTGAAAATCTCAGAATCTGTTTATATGTAGGTAAATATAAGGGGAGGTTCTTTTAAAAAAAAATTAACAGCTTTATCGAGATCTAACTCATCCAAAGAAGAATAAAGTGGCTTTTATATCTCACCTCCATGTGCAACCAACACCAGTCCACTTTAGACCATTTTTATCATTTCAGAACACCGAACCCTTTAGTTCTCACCCTCTTCTCATTTCTCCTCCATCCCAAACAATCACAAATACACTTTCCTTCTCTAGGTTTCCCATAAGCACAGCCTCTAACGTAGCCTCCCTGGACCTCTGGCTCGCCCCCTGGAGCACACAAGCACCCTACTTGGAAGGTCCCTATTCTAGATCTTTGACCTTTACATTCCTGACCTGTTTATCCCTTTTCTTCAATGCCTTGCCTTTTTTTTTTTTTTTTTTTTTTTAATCATTGTTCCTTTGTCTTCCTCTTTGCAAAGGAATAAGCAAACCTTCCGTTTAGAGATCAGCAGGACTGTGGCTCAGCAGGGGAACTGAAATCTTAACGGGACACAGATGTTTACTATGTGGGATACAGGGCCAGAGGAGACAATAAATGAAAGGATAAATATGAGTGCTTCAAAGTTGCTTTCTTTGATTCTCTTTTAAAACAAAACGTTGCTTCCTTGACAAGATAAAAATCCTTAACATGTTTTGCAAACACATTTTCTGCTTTTAATGCCACATTTTCTGTTTGATTTATTATCTCACTAGAACACTTTTCCACCATGTAATTATTTGAATTTATTTTATAATGTGATAAGCTGTGATACTTCTGTTTTTTTTTAATGTGTGTGAAATAACAACAGAGTGACTGTAATTTCATTTGTAAATGTTTTTCAAATAGCTGTGTACATAGTGTTTAAAAATGAAACGTGACAGGGAACCAGTAGAAGTCATTACCTTTTCAGACTCCTGGGCTTCATGGGAGCACGCTCGGGCAACAGAGTGATTTTGTGCAAGACTGTCCCAATCAGCAGACATTTAACACTCTGGGCCTGGACCCCCAAACAGGCCCAGTCTTTGGCACAATCATAAATTGCTTATTTATCTTCAAACTCCCCCAGAAGTGGGTACTGCTGAGACTTTCTTCCAGACTCTCCTTCCTACCTGGCAACTTGCAGGAGAGAAGATTACTAAAACTCTCTACTTACAATGGGATAAAAATTCCCCAAAATGACACGAAGTTTTATTGTTCCTAAACACAGCTCCCGCTGTTGAACATCTGCTGTACCTGGCACTGCACTACAAACTTTATGCAGTTTTCATGTTCATACTTGCTGTAGAATGTCAGCATCCTCATTTATAAAATGAGAAAACCATTAAGTGCATAATATGATGAAGATTTATCACCCAATAATTATTCAGTATATTCTAGGCACATAGAATATACTTAATGGAGATAAACTGTCGAGCAAGATAGACACAGGCACAATGTTTGCCCTCAACGAACTAAGTGAAAATATCCACACTTTTACCCAGGTCTGTCATTTCTCGAACTACCTCCTATTTCGACAATGACCTCTAACCAAATTATTTTCTTGAAGAAAATCTAGTCAAATGAACTATAGCTGATGAGCTTTAAATATATTAAGAAGATACCCAGGACGATGCAGTAAGTCATCTGATCTCCCTCCCCCTAAGAAGCTGAAGCTTGTGTGTACGCAGCCCCAGAAGAGTTAAGTAGCACCAGGCACAACCTGCAGGGCGATAAATGAGCATCAGCCTGCTCCGCTCCGCCTTGGAAAGTTTTTCTTTCCTGCAGCGTGCTTTCCTGCCCAAGCAGAGATACCTCCTCTGACACATGAGTTTTTAGCATTATAATCAACCAACCTCCCTCCTTCCTCTCCACCTTCCCACCCTCCCTTACTTCCACAATATCTTTGAGTGCCCACTATGTGTCCTTGTCCTGGGCTGTAATAGCGTAGTCTATAGACAGTGCCTGTCCTCAAGGATCACACCACGCAGAAGGGATCATTTTCCGTTGATCTGTGACTTCTAGCCCGCTCGCATCATTGATTAGTGCTCTTGCTATGATGGTATTTGGAACATAGATCAAAATAACAATGCTGTGCTTTCTATAGTCATGTCCTTATTTTGATTGATTATGACAGTGCCCAGCTTGTATATGTGGTTTTGTACAGAGCAGCTTTGCGTCACGTATACTATTTTATCTGCCGTCTCAAGCATGGAGAAGTAGGTTCTATTGAGCTTGTTCTTTCAAGAGGGTTAACCCGTTGCTTGTAGCTGATTTTCTGTGTGTTGTGCCTGTAGATATTAGGAGTACAGTAAAGAAAGAAAGAGGAAAGGGCTCAGCAACTTGGGTGGGTCAAAAGGCTTGAAAAATTTTATTATTTAACTTTTACCCCAAAAACATGTTCCCTGGGTGCATGAAGTCCTTCCCAATCGATTATGAGTCACTCAGGGTGGAGGTCAAGTCATTATCCTGCTTATGATGCTGATTCTCCCTTAACCATGTAGTGACACTAAGTCACTCACTTTTTACAGAGTTGAGTATGAAAGCAGAAGGTGATTTTAACATGATTGTGGAGCGATCACAGTTCTGGAAAGCAAGAAGCCTGGGTTCTGTGTTTCAATTTCATGCATGTGTTGTGTTATGGCCTCAAATAAATCACCCAACATCCTTGAAAAATGAGGCAGGATAAGTTTGTCTCAAAGTTTCTTACCAGCTGCCAAACCCCTGTGATTATTCTCTTACCTCTAGACAGCAAAATAGGTTGAGAAGGTTGTGAGAAAATCGACTCAAAGATAAAGTCCTTATTTCAGTTCTAAAATATAGACAGTCATTATTTGAATTCTCTAGGAAGAGTTTATCTTACCCTCAGACAACTATGTGCTCAGGGTAGATGCACAGGACATCATGGAGTTAGATATGTGAAAAGGAAGGTTTTCAATTGACTGGGTTGTTCTTAATTTTTTTCCTTATCTCTTTCCCTTCTTTTTAAGCAGCTCACAATGAATGATGTGAGCTATGATTGCTTTTCAGACCTTGAATGGACTTCGCAATCATCGAGCCAAGTCAACAACTATCATTGGATGCCTGCTGAGTGCAAGATTTTAGGAAACAGGACTCCTAGTTCAAGGGGGCTAGGTCCTTTTAGTAGAGTTACAACAAGTGTGTAAGCAGCAGCAGCAGGAACTTGAATTTGTAGTCTAAAAGATGAATGAGACTTCGCAATCATCGAGCCAAGTCAACAACTATCATTGGATGCCTGCTGAGTGCAAGATTTTAGGAAACAGGACTCCTAGTTCAAGGGGGCTAGGTCCTTTTAGTAGAGTTACAACAAGTGTGTAAGCAGCAGCAGCAGGAACTTGAATTTGTAGTCTAAAAGATGAATGAGATTCTCTAAAGCAGGTTGAGAGGAGCAGGAGAAGCCAGCTACAGATATGCTCTCAAAATCTGCAATGGCAAGATTTAATTGAATGCATCCTGAAACTCTTGGAACCTGCTGGTAATCCTCTACAACGGAGCCCTCTTGGCCCTGAATCCAGAGTCCAGAAAGTCTACCCAGAGCTGAGGGGATGGACGCAGGATTGGCCTCTATGTCCATGTGCTGGTCTGTCCACATCAAGTGAGAAAAACTGGAGCAAGGGAAGAAGATTATATTAAAGTTCATTCCATTTAAATGACTGCCTTTGGGGCCTCCCTGGTGATGCAAAGGGTTAAGTCTCAGCACTTTGAAGCTATTGGCAGCCCCGGCCAGGGAGCTACCCACAAGGTGCAGCAGACCTCTCCTGTCCCGCCTGCTGCTCCCCTCAGCAGTGTATTTCAGTAGATCCACCTGTTTTGTTCCCCACTCTGTATCTGGTGAATTCTCTCACCCCCCACACCTCTGGCCTATACCCCAGTTCTTGTAGCATAA